CTCCAAGCTCATCTAAGTGAAACACCCGGCCATGCTTACTCCCCCGTCCTAGCTCCCGCCCCGTCTTCAGATCCTGCACAACGCAGCCCGAAGGTGCAAACACAACACGACATCCATGATCAGTCAATTGACCAACCGAAACCAAGCTAGGTACAATTTTCGGCACATGAAGAGTATTAGGGAGAGTCACATTCGGACCCTTAACTAAGCCAATGCTCTCAACCTGTAATTTATTACCATCCGCTACTTGAAGGGAAATATTAGGTGCAGGACTAGGATCCGAAATAATCGAAGCATCATTAATCATATGATTAAAACAAGCGGAGTCCAAGATCCATGGAGGCAACTTACCCGAAACTTGGAGACTCGAGAATGCAGCTGCTATGGCCTTCGAAACAAGCTGCTCCAAGTTGGCAGTGGTTACCACCGTACCCTCTTGCGGAGAGGTAACTTGAGTCGCATAAGCTGGACGAGACGAGGATGCACCATCGCCTTCAACAATACTCATGCGAGCCTGAAGCGCCTTGCAGTCCGGGATGATATGCCCCGATTTCTTACAGTACACACAAAAATTTCGTTTGCGACAATATTTCTGTGTGTGACCCTTGGCATGGCAGTGGTGACATTCAACGTCACGACGTTGTTGAGGAGGACGATAGGCCGCGTAAACCTGTTCATCACGATCGGGAGCAGCCGCCACAAGGGACTTGTCGTCGACTGAAGCAGGCCGGGACAGCTCCTGTCGACTTCCACGATCATTGCGACCCATTCCACGACTGCCCTGTGACGCGGCAGCAGCGGCAAAAACGGTAGCTTCAGGAATCCCGGGGCGTGCGTCAATTGAGGCTTGCGTGCGCAGCCTTGTTTCCTCACGCACCAAGTAGCTAAGGACCCCTTCAATTGTCAGACTTTCTCGGTTCAGGAGGGTGGAACGAACAGCATCAAACTCCGGCTTTAACTTTGACAAGAATTGCAGCAAGCGAATCTTGTTCCGTTCAGCTTGCATCCCGGCAGACACAGGAGAAGGGAGCAGCGCAGCGGACAACATGTCCTGTTCGGTCCATAACAGCCGGGCAGCATTGAAGTAAGATGCAACATCGAGATTACCTTGATGGAGATTGCCGAGCTCGACTTCAATCTCAAATTGTCGAGCGACACTTGTGGCCGAATAGGTGTTGGCGAGTGACGTCCACATCTCAGCGGCGGTGGACAGCAAACGGAGACCCAGTACAATATTTGGGTCAACTGATTTCATAATCCAGGAGCGGACGCGAGCATCATTCTGCAACCACTTTGACAATTCTTGATCCGATGCCGGCGGAACAGTAGGCCTTTGCGAAGAGCCATCGATGAATCCAGCGAGACCTTGACCTTCGATGTAGACACGAATCTGAAACTCCCACAGAGCGTAGTTCTTCGAATTCAGACGAGTAGTGACGTGATCAGACTCCATCATTCCGGGCTCTGATACCATGTTAGAGTTTACGAAACAGAAAATCGACACAGTATTTACGTGGTTTCCTTGATCGGTGTGATCAAGACTAGTCCACGGCCGAAGCGTATAAAGTTCTTATTCAAGTACGGCAATCTCCGAGATACAAGTATTTATACATATTCCATACACCTCAACCCTAAGGGTTTCGGCCGATCCTACCAGTCCTATGCATGGGCCTCATGCAGCTACACGTACATGGGCTCAAGCCCTAAATTACAAGTACGTAACTTAACACTCTGTCCATTACCGCCGTCAACATTCACCTCCTCGACATATTCTTCCTTTCTTGTGATGGTTGGTTCGCGAGAAGCCGGAGTTTCAACAGAGAGCTGGCGAATCTGGGTTCGCGAAGGAAGAACCCAGAAATTGAGTTCCGGATCTACCATCTCTTCTCGGCGCCGGTCTTCCCATGAATCGGGAGCCACCTTCGAGACTCGAGACCATACTTCTGCATCCAAGAATCGGGAGGCGTCGTTGAGGATTGAGACCAGAGGAATAAGAAGCGTTCGATTTATTTTGGGAACGACGATTGATCTTGGCTTGGAGATTCTGGGGATAGGGTTGCGATTTTAGGGATGGCGTTGAGGATGGAGACCAGAGAAAGAAGAAGCGTTCCACCTTCTTCCTAGTTCGCCGACACAAATGCTTCAAATTTGAAAATGTCTTCGCTCGATGATTCCGCTCTCTTTTTCTCCAATTCAGGCAGCGAGACAGGTGGAGAGGCTTGGTTTGCGCCGCCGTTAACACCCATTGACCCCACCAATTTGCGACCCCCGCGAACGTGGATACCATTCACAACTCCAGGAAGCAGAGGAGGCCCCGGAAGCTAATCTATAGGAAAATCCCGCCGCCGCCAGCGACATCGGCGGAGGAGGTGGTGGAGTCTGTGCTGAGACGCGTTTTATTTTTTTAGTTTTTAATAGTAGTGGAAATGATGTGGAAAATTTAAATGATCAAATTTTATATTTTATTAATTTTTAATTGCTATATCAAATATTTAACGTTCAATTATGAAAGTTTGACTGTCACATCAGAAAAACTTAACTGACTTGGACGGAGAATAACCAAATTTGAACTGTTAAAACTAATTTCAGTGACCATGAATGGAATTACATAATTTGCGTTCTGCGATAACCAAACTGATCATAAGACGATCTGCAATAGTCTTATGATCATCAGGCTCGAGAGGGAAGTTGCACACGATGACGAAGAGGAAGAAGAAGAAGAAGAAGAAGAAGAAGAAGAAGAAGAAGAAGAAGAAGAAGCGGCATTATTAATGGCGGCAGCGGCTTCGATCATCACGTGGTGTTGATGCCGATCCAAGTGGTGGTTTCCCGTTGCAGCAGCTCCTGCGTCAGGAGGTGGTGGTGGACACTGGTAGGCACAATGTTTGGGGCTACAATGTGCGTAGCCTTCGCCGCAGTAACGCGACTTACTGCAGCATCGTCCTGGGTCGCATTGCTCCCAAGCCCGGTTAGTTTGTCGGCGGCACCTGTGTTCCGGCCCTTCCACGCTCTCCGCCGCCGCCGACGAGGATTGATGAGTAATCAGCTGGCTTACCAGCGCCACTGCTACCAACAACAGTAGTACTAACAAACTCTCCATTGTATGAAATGTGAAGCAGCTACATACCACGGTCACATTTATACACAGTGCCGTCGACCAATAAATTGGTCTTGTGTACTCGTGTGACCTATTTTGAGGCGGTGACGGGATTCCCTAATTTGATTCGGGTTAGAAGCATCTACCGGACTCGACCGTATACCAGTGCGCTGCCGCGGCAGCATACCTAGACTTTGGGCAACTCTCAAATCCCCATCCAAGATAATACCTTGGTGATAAAAACCAGGCCACCACCTTTCCATCAATATTAATCGGTTGATTTACTTTGTTGTACAGTGGATTTGAACAAACTTCAAGTACACTTGAATTGATCCCGACTTTTGTTTGGTGGAGCATATAAAAAGAATGATATAAGCTTACTATTTTTGGACGTTTCTCAATAACTTAAATTATTGGTACTAGCTAACTGATTCAATCACAGACACAAACTTCTTGTTCAATCATTAAACGCGTCCATTCAAGATTTTTCGTATTGATACTAAATGTCGAGTGCGGACTCCAAAAACCACTCTCAACTTACATAGTTGAGTGCATTGGATTCATAAGTCTCTTTTTCAATAAATTATTCCATTCAAGTTTCGCAGTAATGAAACATATTGATCGAGATGGGCGTCGTGGAGACTAGTGGTTCATGGAGAACCTAGTCAGCTTTATGAGTTTTTTTGTCTCCTTCAGGGAACTTGAGTTATTGGGACCAACTGGTTTATGACATGGTGTAGGGTTGGTTAAGGCAATTTTGAAGCAGGGATGTCGAAAGTATGTGGATTTGTGTAAAGTATGTAGATTTGTGAAAAGTAAAGGAAAAGTTATAGTTTGAAAAGTAAAGGGAAAGTTATTCCCAAAATCCCGTATACCCAAAAATATTTTTTGTTTTGAAAATTATTTTCTAGACAAAATTGTAGTTCTTAAAAAGTTATGCGCAATAAAAAAAACTATGACTTTCGGATTGAGGAGCACAAAGTTATGGTCTTCCAATGTTTGGCAAAATCGAAAAATTGCTCTTACGGGGTAGCAAACGACATTTTTTTGGGATGAAGGTCAGTTGAAGATTGAAAGATCTTGAAAATTTATGCGGAATCAAAAAAAAAATTTGCTACTACCGGATAACCGAGAGTAAAGTTACGTTAGTTTGAAGTTTCAGCCTTAGATCAGGCCTTCGCCACGGCCGTCAACCACGGTGAAGCTTTCACCGCAGCCATCAACCGCGGTGATGCATTCACCGCTTTAGTCTGCCGCGGTGAATTCACCACGGTTGACGGCCACAGTAATGCCAAACATGTGTAGATTAATTTTTTTTTTCATAAAACGTTAGTATTTTAAGAATATTATAAAAATAAACATGTGTATTTTGAGATTTTTTTCCAATTGAGTGTTACCTAACTAAAATCAAGCGTCCTCAGGGTTTTGGCGGGAGTTTTTACCGCCAGAGTACAATTTGACTATTCCCCTCCATCATCAGAAGCGCCTCTCATTCTCTTTGAGCTCTTAGCTTCGCGGGCAGCGTTTGCGAAGAGGAAGAGTCATCTGAACCCCTTTCCCATTTTCATTAAGCAACCGCCGGCGCGTTCACCTTCTGCCAGCCGCTGTTTCTCCTTATTTTCTGCAATTCAACAAGAGGCGATTTTGGTAACTCTCAGTCTCTCAGTGTTGGTCCCTCTTGGACTTGGTACATGAATAGAGTGCATTGTGCAATGCATTTGCATATTTTACTCAAAAGTTTGGTTCATTACATTGTTTTTTGAACAATATAGTCAAAGCTTACTTACTTATGCTTGCCATGAGTTTGATCCCTACGACAGTTCCAACACTTTCACCGGAAAACGTCGGCGACAGATGAAGAAGGAGAAACTGGAAACAAAGAAGGGGCTGCAACGGAAAACGAGTGGGAAATTGCGATACAAAACACGTCATAACTCATAAGAATATATGCATCTATAATCAACAATCAAGCTTCTCCCCTTCCTATACATCCAAAGTTCCAACATAACAACTCAAATCAAGCTAATCAAACAATAAAACAACACTGCAATGAAGAAGATGATGAACATCTCCCCTTTCTTCTTATGAACGTCACCGCCACTAAACTAACAAACCAATCTGCACTGCTTCAGGAAAAACTAGCCTTGTTATGATGCCTTATCTTTCAAGAGCTCCGTGGCTTTTAATTCGCTCTCGATGACCTTCATTTTCAGGTCACATTCAAGTTTGGCTGGGCGAGTTCATCACCATTTCACCTTCCAACATACGTAGTACCTACAGTTTGATAACATTAACCTACATTCAGTAGACGTGTGTCATGACTCGACGAAGCAGGAGTTTATTAGGTTCCTCTTAATGTACCTGAGACATTCGGGGCCTGAAATCAGGATCGCGCTGGAGGCACAGCAGGGCACACTGCATCATGTTACTCAGCTGCGGCTCCAGATAGCAGTTGTTCAACCGCGGATCAACCAGTTCAATGGTGGCTTTCTTCTCCAGCAAGGGACGTGCCTGTACAAAGAGGAGGTTTATTTCTGGTGAACAATCAAGAAGATGCAATCAGCTGTGGCATAATCTCTTCTTGTGGCTGAGTTTTATCATTTACCCATTCGGTCAGACATTGCTGTCCTTTGGGCTTTCCCACATCTATAGCCTTTCTTCCTGTGACCAGCTCCAATAGTACTACCCCAAAAGCATACACATCAGCTTTCTCTGTGATTTTCCCGCTTTGAACGTACTCTGGCGCCAAATAACTGCATTTTCACAATGGTATCTCAGAAACCCTTTATTTATGTTGCTGATAAAAATTCAAGCATTGCAGTTAACGAGTGTATCTGTTACTGTAACGTGGTTTATATTTTACCCAAATGTTCCAATGATTCTTGTGCTGACCCCCAGGTCTGCATGTGGCTGCCACCTTGCTAGTCCGAAATCCCCAACCTATATCATTCACATCAATGGAGTTATGATACTTAACATTCAAGGGGAAGGAAAATAAGGTGTAAATGAGAGAGAGAGGAAGGGTTTTTTGTATGGCATAGCCCTACCATGGGTTCAAAGTCGTGGGTGACAAGGATGTTGTTAGGCCTCATATCACGATGGACAATACAGCCAACCCTGCATTCTTCATGAAGGTATCTTAGCCCTCTTGCTGCTCCAACTGCAATTTTTTGTCTCGCAGCCCATATCAATGGATCTTTGTTCAATGCTGCAGGGAAAAGAGTAAGCCAGTTTAGTCGCCATTCTTCACCAAGTAAAATTGATTAACTATCTAGTCCTGTTGCAGAAAGAAAAACTCACCAAAGAGATGTGAATCTAGAGATCCATTGCAGATATATTCATAAACAAGCAGCCTTCTTCCACCCTCCACGCAGAATCCAATTAGCATCACCACATTCCTATGTTGTGCACAGCTCAAAACCTCTACCTCCGAGCAGAACTCAACGTCGCCTTGAGAGCTAACGGATTTATGCTGCTTCACAGCGACCACCCGACCATCTTGTAACACACCCCGGTAAACCGAGCCAAACCCACCTTCAGCCAAGAAATTCTCCTTTGAAAACCCTTTTGTAGCAGCTTCAAGTTCCCCATAGGCGAACCACTTTGGAGGGCTCCCAAATCCAGGGGCCTTGTGTTTACACATTGAACACAATGGAGGAGGGCCAAGAGGCACATTTCCGGATAACGAAATGGCTTCCCTCACACTTTTGCTCAGCCTGACATCAATTGGTGAATTAAAGGATGCAAGTGCAACTGATTCAGAGTCATTATCCAATCTAGACAAACTTGTGAGCAAATTCTTGTAAGCTGAACTGAGACATGTGTCATCACCATCTGTATCCAAACCCCTCAACACATGCTTCCTGATCTCGCCACTGGCATCATCCATCCAAGACCTTTGATAAGATCTCCTGAGATGAGGGGTCGATATTTCAGTAGCGTCTGTATCAGAGTCAGAATCGTATCGGCTTTGGGCTACGAAGGAAGGGTTGTTCTTCAAGTTGCTGAAATTGGCACGCATAAGAAATGGTGAAGCTCCTGGTTCTGAACTCGATCTGGACGAGCTGCCTGTACCAATATCTGTTGTAGTCATCGAGAACTCGTGCTCGGGAGAGCTAGCTGGGGTCACAAATGGTCCCCTTAACGTATCATTGTAATCTTTGCTGTCGAAGTAGGTTCGAGGAGGCGGTTCATCAATGACACCAACTGGTTGTAGTGGCCATGGGAAGGAAACAACTTCAGGTTCCAGCTTGAGCGATCCGTTTACTTTCAATCGAAGCACTTTTGGACGTGACTTTTTCATCACCACAAGATTGCAATCTAGCTTCTCCAAGCAGCATTTCTTCTCGTGTTTCAAATGTCTGTGAAGAAACCATCACTAGTTAAGTGCAAAAAACCTGGACTGTATCCAAGTATTGAAAAGGTTACTTGAACATGCAATTATCATCTGGGTATCAACTGTAAGAAACACTAGGCCATGCTCATCATAAGCTATAATGCAAACAAAACACAATACAATGTTATACATTGTCTTTATTACTTGTCCAAAATCACCCAGTTTGACTCTGAATTTTTTGCTTCTGCAGCCACCACTCCAGTTGTTGAGTCAGAAACAACCTTCACCCTGAATCTTATCTGGGTTAAGAAAAAAAAAGGAAACAAGAACAAGAGTGGTTACAAAGGAAGAGGAAACTTGACTAGAAAAGGGGGGAAAACTTTTGAGTCAATGGTGGACCTTACCTTATCAATGTCATAGGCATCACGAAGCCGATTCATCATTTGGGAGCAAAGCTCTGAAACCCCATCTCTCTGGTTCAACATGGAGGCCGAGAACGAGAGCTTTTTGTTACCAGCAGAACAATCGCCGCCGGTGAATCTTGAGAAACCCCAAACCCTTTTACCTGCAAGAAGGAGAAGTTGCCTCTACTTTATGAGAAAGCTTTTAGGTGGAAAAAGATCAATCATTTCCCAAGTAGAGGATCGACCCAGTGGGGGCTCATAAATCATAATAATGAGAACCAAGCGCACGGGATCCTAAACCATAAGCCAAAAATGGGCAAGTCTCCGGCTTGGACTTCTAAAGCGACCAATTTAGGAGCATTAAGTGCTAAGCGGCCTAATCATGTCAAAACTCAAAAGCTACCAAATTCCTTCTATGACTAGTTGACTACAATTCAAGGTTCCCCTAAATCCACAAAGGTTTTAGTTTACCAAAAAGCTTTGCAAGGGACAGAGTAAAGGACAGAGCAAAGGGCATTACCAAGAATGGCACCCATATGGGAAGAAATCAATGTAGAGAAATGCCAAGGAAAAGAAGGACCTAAACAGAGAGAAGGAACATTTTCCAAACCTGGGGAGTGAAGTGGGAGGATAACCAGAAGCCTGATACAATCCCCAGGCTGAATAACATGAGTAAGCGCCCAAACCAGAGCACGCGTCGGAATCTCCTTGGGAGCAGCTTTAACAGCCACAACCACCACTTTCCCCAGCCCGAAATCCGCCGGAGAACCACCGGACGACGACCCTCTCCCGCTCATCTCTTCACCCTAACCAACTTCACTTCCAGAAAATTCAACAATCAACCAACAGAACCCATTTACGTCCTTCCCCAACTTTCACAAATTAGCCCCAACCCAGATGCCCTTTTGCAGTCAAAACTCCAAACAGAGTGAATAACAAGCGGAGAGAGACAGGGGAAGAACGTGGAATTCAATGGACCCTCTTTCCCTTTCTCTTTCTACAACCGAAAAAACAGCTTCGGATCAAGCGCTAGGGAAAAAATGTGAAGGCGGGGAGGGGAAAGAAAATTGTTGCTACATGGGGAAAGCGTGGGGTTAACGAGGGAACGGAACGGACTGCTTCACACTTCTGCCATGGCCTATTTTGGACGTTTGCTGGTGGAGGAAAAAGGGATGGGTTTGAAAAAGCTGGAATGGGTTACTACTGTATTACGTTGGAGGACAGTTACGAGACGACGACGAATTCCTTCTTCTTCTGATGACGGTGATGACTCTTCTTCTCTAGCTTCGTTTCTTTTGGCTTGGTGCAGTTGTTCTGAAAGCTGGATTCGGCAGCTGTTGGAATGATTCTGGGTCTAAATAGTGATTAAGAACTGTTGGAAGAATTGAAAGCAAGGGGAAAAAGGGTAAACGGAGGGCGCCAATTCTGGGGAAAGGGACGAGCAAAACGACATTTTTGGGACGACTTCGGGATTAGGTGGACGGGATTATGGAGGGGCTCTGTATATGAACATTTGGCAACTGGAAGATGATTCCATTGTTTAAAAAGCAGAAACATTCTCAAGAAAAAAATAAACCAAGACGACATGGGCGGGGAAAGAGATAATGAAAGGATTGAGTTTTTTTTTCTTTGATTCTGTTTGGGACGGCCGATTTACAGCCTGCTAGAAAACTTCATTGGTGATGATCACCCAACAAGTTATATGTCCGAGTTGATTGCCGTTGTCGTTGGGAAATATACTTCAAGATGGCCGGTTGTTTAGGGTAAGGTGTGTAACTAAATTTGGTCTCTTAGTTTTGAGTAGGATGAGAGCCAAATAAAAGAATTAAAATAAAATTATTTTCTCTGTTTTTCTAACTTTGTTGTAATCCAATTGGAACGAGTTCATTTTAATTTACAAAATGATATTCATTTTTCGATATATTTTGAGAAATTTATTTTGTACCACTCATTACTATTATTAGTGTTATGCATTGATTAGTGATTTAGGGTTAGGGCTTAGAGTTTAGAGTTAGCATTTAGAATTAAAGGTCTAGGGTTTAGGATTATGCATTGATTAGTTGTGATCCAATGTTATATCATCGTATTGGACTAATGATTTCAATTAAAATTCAAAATTCGATGACTTAAGGCTAGTTTGAGTGTATAGTGTGCACTCATTTTCTATCGGTGCACCGTAAAAGTCACCGGTATATGGTGGTAACTGGTGGAAGGCGGTGGTGAAAGATGGTAACTAGTGATTAGTATTTTCCTACTATCATTGTATACAATCATTTACACTATGGAATATCCATACCACCGATATACTTCAATACCACTATGATAAATGATATAATCATATATATGTTTTACCAAAAATTATCATCATGGTACAGACTAATAATATCTGCCTCAATTTTGCTATTCAAAATATGTCAAAGCAAATGTCGTTTTGAAGAGCACGATTAACTTGAATTTTATGTGTGAAAATATTTGAACCACATAAAACCAAAAAGACTTAGCTTGTTAAATTTAATTTGAGATAAAATTATTCATAATCAATAACCAATTCCAGTAGCTCTAAATATCCCATCATTTGAAAATAAACCAGTTAAACTTGTGCTTAAGGTTTAAACAGTTGCTCAGCAGTTGTGTCATAACAAATATCTAGACCTACATCTTACTTTGTCAAACTTTATTGATAATGTTGAGTTGAAATAACAAGTGCAGCAACTTAATCATCATAAGATGATAACATGAAGGTTCATTTAACATATAATTCTCCTCAAGACTATGTCTCAAAACCAAAATTTCTGTATCAAATTTTTAGAAATAAAATTTTAAATTCTAACAATATTTGTTTTTTTTTCAAATTTCTTTTTTTTTTTAAGACAGTCAAAGTGTCTTTCTTGATTATTTTAAAAGAGAAGCCTACTGGCACTTTTGGACCCATATGGTTTGGCTGTGTTCATTTGTCAACAATTTTGAAATGCAGAGCATTCTGCAATATTTCTGGCGAGTGAAGGAATTATTGGAGCTCGATTTGGAGTGTGGAGGAGGGATTTTTTATTGGGAGATTTGACAATATGATACTAGTGTACTAATGGGATATATCTATATTTCGAATGATATGATTGTTGGATGTATTTTATTGTATTTTGACAAATCTAAATCATTGATAATTATTTTTTATTAATTTGATAATCGAGTTTTGGTTAATAAAATCAAGACATATGGTTAATTCATTAGAGGTTAACCTCTGTTTAATTTATGATTTAGACAGGTGTATCTCATTAGACGTACTCAGAGTATAATATATTTTAATAGTATACTAGTCTAACCATTGAATATATTATACAAGAAATAATGGATAGCTCGAAAAATCATCTTCATCCAACTAACAAAAACAAATGAGAGCAACTCTAAACTAACTAGAGAAAATAACTTTTCTTGTCACACGACTCACACTATGAGCAACCTAATTCGCAGTCTAAGTAATCGCCCAAAAATCTAAACCTATGTCCAGAGTAGGTATCATCGGCAAGCAATTTTATTGAGTATCAGTTCTCCAATTGCAATCCCACTATGTGCCTCTGGTGAAGGACGACTTCGAATTTTTTTTTCCTTCGGATGTAACTCCACGGAAATTGATGTTACGATCAAGAACAAGCCGTCTCGAGCAGGACAGTGTAAATTGGACGGTCCGCCCAACTAGACAGACATTTTAGTCCTAGTTAAGCCCTAATCAGTCCTTTACCTAAACCTATCGTTAATATATTATGCTGCCTGGCTGTGAGCTGTCGTGAACTGCAATCTCTGATGTCTTCGATTGATGTAGGTACGCTCCAGTCTTTTGACTTAGCCACCACTGAACACAAGGTAGCACAGTAGGAATTTAGCATCGATCCCATCCCACCAACAAAGAAGAAAATCACTTGCTCACTCCTCGCTATCCTAATTAGTGAGATTAATGTATGAGAAAGAAGAATGCCGGTGAATTAATTTGAGGCTAAATATAAATTCTACAACTGTTGATAATCCCACGACAATAATAAGCTGTTGATCAGAAATAACAAGAAGATTTGTGAACAACGTTGGTCAAATAGTATTATGATTATCCTAACGTATTAGATGAGTGACGAAGTCATAAATTCGGATAAGGGTATCCTTGACCGAATATAAATAGATAGATAACTATTTAAAATACATATGATGATTTTTTTAATATTTGAGTAACTAATTCATGGAAAAAAGGAATAGTCAGTTCTTAGCGAATGCTGCAATTCAACAGGGTCGTCAACCCAAGTACCCTCGTTATTCTTTAACGTTGTAATTCGTTTTTCTTTTCCTTCGTCGCATCGTTCTGGCATGGAAGTATTTGGTATTCCGTTCCCCAGAAGCGATCCATTCCAACCTTGATTTCTGACACCAGGGGATTTCTTCCTGGAATAGGACCGATTCTAGTTCATCCCGCAGCTCTTTCAGTTGGCCTTCCACCGCATCTGTCGTCGCCCGTCTCTCCAGCCTGTCAATCTTGGTTAGCAATAAGTTCTTCTTTTTCTGAATATGCCCCCATGTATCATAATTCCAGGAGCCAGCATCTGACGCAAAAGCGCCTGCTGAACTGACGAAGTCATCACCCTTCGCCCAAGCCTCAGTCGTCATCCGGGTAAAGTCCTCGTGAGTGAGTGCATCACAAGGCGGCTGAATCGGTGTCGGCGCTAGCTCAAGAATGTTGGTCGGATCCTACTAAAGTAAAGAGCATCAATGAAACGATCCTAGTGCTCATTCCGAAGATCCCGAGCCCAACACTTATTGAAGAGTTCCGGCCAATTAGCTTGTGTAACGTGGCTTACAAAGCTTTAACGAAGTGCCTTGCCGCGAAGCTAAAGCCCCTGATGCCGGCATTGGTCCATGAAACGCAGACCTGCTTTGTACCGGGGCGACACATCACTGATAACATATGTATTCTCCAGGAAGTGGTACACTCTATGCGTGCTAAGAAGGGTCGTAGGGGATGGATGGTTTTAAAGATAGACCTAGCCAAGGCCTATGATCGCATAAGATGGGATTTCGTTCGAGAGACTCTCCAAGCAACGGGCGCCCCAACCAGCTTCATTAACCTGACCATGGCTTGCATCTCGACGTCAACAATGCAAATTCAGTGGAATGGTGGCTTGACAGAACCGTTTTCAGCCTTCTCGTGGCCTGCGACAGGGATGTCCCCTTTCCCCCTACATCTTTACCTTATGTATGGAACGACTGAGCCACGTAATAACTGAAGCGGTGAGAGATGGTTATTGGCAGCCTATAAAGCTTACCAGTAATGGACCAGCCTTATCCCATCTATTTTTTGCAGATGATCTCATCCTATTTGGTGAAGCTTCAAGCGCCCAGGTGAAGGCAATCAGCCACAGCTTTGAAGTTTTTTGGGCTTCGTCCTGTCAGCAAATAAGCAAACCCAAATCCCGTGTATTCTTCTCGGCAAACGTCGCGACAGAGAAGCCATAGGCGCTGAGCAAGGAGCTGGAGATACCCCAGACGACGAACCTCGGAAGATATTTGTGAGTTCCAGTGATCCACGACCGCGTATCCAAAGCAACCTACACAGGGCTTATAGACAGGATTGACAGCCGACTAGCGGGCTGGAAGGCGTCGACCATGTCGCTAGCGGCGAGGATCACACTGGCTCAAGCGGTGCTCTCGTCCCTACCGGCGTATACGATGCAAACGGCCTTCCTGCCGGCGAGTGTTCGTGACTACATAGACAAAAAGATTCGGGCTTTTGTCTGGGGAAGCACTGAGAATGGCCGAAAGAAACATCTAGTTGACTGGGAGAAAAAAACAGTATGCAGGCCTAAGGATGAAGGAGGATTGGGGTTGAGAGGTGCGACACGAACGAATGAAGCATACATGCTGAAAATAGCGTGGAGGCATCTCACCCATCCTGATGAGCTATGGGCAAGGGTACTACGCCACAAGTATTTGAGGCAAACGGCGGAACTAATACTAGTGACGTTTTCATAAACAACAAAGAGGTGTTTACATATTCTGAAAGTAGAGGAAAATTAGGTTTATTGTCTAATACTCATAAATTAGTATCTTTTATTGTATTCTATGAAGTAATCATTAACGAATTTGTTGCCTATTTGACTTCGAAACTTGTTTTTTAATGTAGCTTAAAGGTAAAATAGTTCTTTCGACTCTTGCAATTGCAATTGCAATTAATGGTGGAAAGGAATATATATAAGAACAAGAGTAGATAGAAAAGTATAAGGATAACAATTGTTCATATTTCTTATATATCATAGAGTTCCGATTCAATTATGGTGCTCACAGAGTGTTTTATGAGAACGTGTATACAACATTCTTGATCATATGTACGCAAAAGCATTGTGAGTACATTTCACAATTGCCCTATCAACTTAGTAACAAAATGGGTATATTCAATTGAACTCTATTTACAAATATAAAACACAAGTAAAAATCAAAATAGAAGAGAAAAGTTACACATATATACAATTTAAAGTTTAAACAACAATATAAAATGGCTAATTGACTAATTCCTTCTGATAGCATCTTTTACACTTCTACACTAACTGCAACTCTAATCGCTGGGCTTTTAAATTCTATAAAGTAGCCCGAATTCCCTTGCTATGACTAGCCCAACCAAGACAATGGGCCCTTGGCCCAGAAAACATCCTCCAGCCCAGTTCCATGAATCAGATCTTTTGGGCCCCAACGGTCATGTGTCCCCCCGCGCCTTGCATTGAAACAGAAGCAGCGGGCACACAATCCGGTTGTTTTCTCATTTCCAGTCCATGGCCGATGGCAAAGGCGCCAAGTTCGTCGCCGTCGCCGTCGCCGCCGATAGATTGAAGCGGGAGGATTGTAATCGGACAAAGCACGATCCCGACTTCTCTAAATGGCAGGTTCGTTTCAATCTCATCTTTCTCTTCTCTCTCCCTCCTACCCTTTGTAAATTCAACTTCCAATTCCCCCAATTCATACTATCTCTGAAACCACCAAGGAACCAAATCTGCGAACACCGGATCTTCCTTTCCAGCTAAGTACTCTACAGTTCCCGGCGAAAAAATTACCATCTGGGTTCTTTTCATCGCTGGCAGATTCTCACTCATTTGCCCCAAAAAAAATGAATTTGGACTAAATTTGTTTCGGGTCGACTTGCGGTTTTAGGTTCTTATCGGGCCATCTGATTGGGCAGACTATTCAGTCGGGAAGGAAGGAGCTGCGAGATACAGAGTCCACAATCTCCCTTCCACTTCTTCCGCCGGAGTTTACGAGCTGGGGATCTCGGTCCGCCGATCCGATTCGGGTCGAGAACTCGGGAAGCAAGAGATAGTGGTGGTTTACCTCGGGCAAGCTGAAAATGTCAGGACCCGACTCCAGCGGTACGGGCGAACGGGCGCCCATTTGGGAAGCAGTTACTCGACCGGTCACTGGGACGAATTCAAGACCGAGCCTCTTCACAAAAGCGCCGGCTTGTTTGAGGAGATGTTCTCCAGAGGCCATTCCATTGTCTTCAGATGGGCTGCTGTAAGTAGTAGTACTGTAAACAGTTTTTTTTTTCAGTCATCCGTTGAACAATTCGTGAGACTGATAATGTTGGTAGCAATGTAACAGATGAAGGACAAAAGGGCTGCTGAGAAGACAGAGTCACAGCTGCTCGAAACATTCGATTACGCCTGGAATCGTGGTGGGAATGGAGCTCGTAGACCGGGCGACATTGTCCAGAAACTTGACAGGATTGCTTCAGCAACAGCAGCTAGTTCCAGGCTGAGAGACATTTCCAAGAAGCTAATGCTGTCGTTAGGCCACCAAGGTGCTGCTGTGGGAATCAAGATTGAAGCAAGCAGCAAGCCAGTTTCACCACACAAATCCGAAACGAATTCAGGCGAAGACAATGAAAGCAAAAACTTCCTCCACAGGGTCTTCAACTTTAACAGGTCACGGCCCAGATTGGTTTCAGACATCAAATGTGGAGCAACAGAAGAGGAGAGCACTTCTGCTAGTAATGTCTGTGGGTTCATTATGGCTGATGGCATTCCCTGCAGAAGCTCACCAGTTGCTGGAAGAAAGAGATGCGAGCAACACAAAGGGATGAGAATCTATGGTTCACATTGTGTAAAATCAAGTAAAGCAAATGAGAACAATCGGTCTCCGGACTGGGAACATAGCTTATCTGTTACCAAATGTGGAGCAACTTTGGTGAATGGTTCGTTGTGTAGCAGGCGGGTGGGACAAGGGAATGAAAAGTGTTGGCAGCATCACGAGAAGAGGGTTGGTGATTATGATGCTGGTGAAGTTCCCAGGTTGTCTGGCGAGGAGGGTTCATTGTTGAAGTCTGAGTTGCAGGCTGCGGTGGTCACTTGTGGTGTTCGGTTGCTAGATGGTTCGGATTGTAGTAGAGCTCCTGTTGCTGGAAGGAAGAGATGTTTGCAGCACAAGGGGATGAGAGTAAATTGAGTGATCATCGGTTGATTTGATGACTCTTGTCATTTGTCATCGGTTGATTTGATGGGTTGTTGTAGGTTTTTCTAGCTACATTGAGAGGCCCATTGATTTGCCTTGTGAGTCAAGATAAGTTTTCAATGTGAGTTGTGACCTCAAAATTAAGGGGTAATTTATAAGTGTCAATTAAGGGGTTATATATAAGGCCCTATGTCACTCAGACATGCTCACGAACGAAATGATAATCCATAACTCATTAAATTTAGTGAATAGAAAAGTTACGCATCGACCAACCAATTTGATTGTTGACCAAGCGACATCAAGCATGATTGTCAAATCGATACAATCTGGTTCAACCGGTTGGTGCGGTCCAACCAGTATGTTTAATTTTCTTCCCCTATACAATCGGGCTCGCATATTAATTAACGGTTCAACGCTGCCTCGGGATTTCTCCAAAACGCCTGGCCACAACAAATCTCACCCTTATCTTCAACCCCCGACTACAACAATCCCCCAACACGACCACCGCCATGCCGGCCGGCGAGCTCCGCCCGACGGCGGTGCCGTTGCATCCCACTAGCCCTGCCTCCCCCACCGCCGCAGCGTCCGGCGACGAGGCCTGGGTATGGGCTCAGATCAAAGCCGAGGCCCGGCGAGACGCCGAAGCCGAGCCAGCTCTCGCCAGCTACCTCTACTCCACTATTCTCTCCCACTCTTCCCTCGAGCGATCCCTCGCCTTCCATTTGGGCAACAAGCTCTGCTCTTCCACCCTCCTCTCCACTCTCCTCTACGACCTCTTCCTCAACACCTTCTCCTCCGACCCTTCCCTCTGCGCCGCCGCCGTCGCCGACCTCCGCGCCGCCCGCGTCCGCGACCCCGCCTGCGTCTCCTTCTCCCACTGCCTCCTCAATTACAAGGGTTTCCTCGCTTGTCAGGTAATTCTTCGATTGCCAATCCCTAAAAAGAAAAATCGGGGACTCCAATTTTGTTCTTTTTCGGGTAAAATTGTTGGGATTTCTTTCTCAGGCGCATCGATTGGCTCACAAGTTGTGGATGCAATCCCGGCGGCCGCTGGCTCTAGCGCTGCAGTCCCGGGTCTCCGACGTTTTCGCCGTCGACATTCACCCGGCGGCGAGGATCGGGAAGGGGGTTCTGTTCGACCACGCCACGGGGGTGGTCGTGGGCGAGACGGCGGTGATTGGGAACAACGTGTCGATCCTGCACCACGTCACGCTCGGTGGAACGGGGAAAGCTTGCGGCGACCGGCACCCGAAGATCGGCGATGGCGTGCTGATAGGCGCCGGGGCGACGATCCTGGGGAATGTCAACATTGGAGAAGGAGCGAAAGTTGGGGCAGGTTCTGTGGTTCTGATCGACGTCCCGCCGCGGACCACGGCGGTGGGGAACCCTGCCAGGCTCGTCGGAGGGAAGGAGACCCCGTCCAAGCACGAGGAGTGCCCAGGAGAATCCATGGATCATACGTCATTCATTTCGGGCTGGTCGGATTACATTATCTAGGACTTCCCCGCCGGAGTTCCCTTCCTTCTGAGGTTAGTCCGTGTTCATTTTCATTCACAGTCCATTTACGAATTGAGTTCATGACGATAAAGTAAACCATGATGAATGTACAATAGAAATGGAAGGGCGATCCCCGGGATGAAAACGTCGATGGGGACGGCTGTTGGAGCTATCCTTTGTTTTGATGAACAGAGCGAAAGATCCGAACCCCGTGAACCCGGCCCCAATCATTATTTCCTCCAGCACCTTTTGGAATTCCTCCCTTGACAATGCCTTTTTCTTTGTTGTTCTTGCTGTCATCTTTGTAGTGAGACTGCAAAGTTTTTGTGATGCAGGAGTTATATATGGGAATGGAGAAGAAGGAGAAAGAAGAAACAACGATAGAGAATAACTCACATTGTAGACTTGTTTGAGCTTCTCTTTGTCGGAGACTCGGAACTGTGTGCTATTGAGCTTCTTGTTGATTTCCCTGTTGGAAATGAAAGCAGAAGCTCATGATAGAAGCGGGGAAAGGGATAGAGAGGATGAAGGAGGGGGAATCAGGATGATGGAGATTACTCTACAGTTTTGCAGACAGCAGCGTAGAAGTCAGCCGAGCTCAGTTCCTGGGTACTTTCTTTGAAATACTTGTCGTAACATTCTTCAATGGCAGTAGCTATATCTCTGTCCTTGTTATGGTCACTTCCTGCAATCCCAGGTAGGTTTGGGTTTAGTTACAGGATGAGTACAGAAAGTAGACTAGAGGCGATAATTAGATATTGTGCAGGTGAAGAATAGTAAGTTTTGAAACCCAGGTTAGATTTTTTTCATTCCTGGATATGTTGTAACTTAAATTGCGTTGATTGATGATCGATCCCCTTGCATCATAAGCAAGGCACTGGCTGTGGCTAGTTATCTATATGTTGTTCCAGGTGTTGGAACCATAAGCCCAGAAGTATGGAACAGTTCCTAGAAACAGAATTGAGACAACATGGTTTTTGCAGAATAAGAAAAAGAAACAAAGAATTTCAAATGGTGAACCGAGCAGTGGTAATTCTGACAATGGCGGCTGGTTATTGAGAAAAGGGCTGCCTGCCTTGTACGTGCGCTCTAATTAAGGAATAAGAGAGACTGGAGAAGTATTATTGGCTGTGGCAGAGTATCTGTCTTGTGTTGCCTTGCTTAGGAAGCAAAGCTGCAAACAAACTTTCAGGTAGCTGATATTATCATTGTCAAGTCCAAAAACACCTGTATCTTGATACCATTTCCTTGCATCGGATAAGGAGTTGTTATATTACTAAGAATCCGAACAACATAAAGCGATTTCATAGATTTGAATTTATTTTGTACAGGTCTTTATCATTTCCTATGCTTCAACTAGTTGAGTAGGGAATAGATTCTGTGACTCGAATGCGGCGAATAACAATTTAGTTTGGCGATTCAAATAGTAAAAAACTTTGGTTTTACCATTCTGACCAGTCCTTTGTGACAACTCCCATACCATACCATGTCTTCTCGAGGATTGATACTTGCACAATCCTCCTTAGAATAAGGCTTAGCTCTCTTCTTCTTCATTCTTCTTCGAATTTGCTGAACTCGATGGAAAGGCGAAGTTTTTTTTGAAGTTCTTTCATAAACCGACTTGTGTAAATGATTTCTTGATTGAAGCATCATTCTATTATTTTGTTCAAACTGTTGTTGTGAATTGTGATTGTGAATTTGGGAAACAAATTAGTTAGATAGCTAACGCTTTGGGCCAAGTTTACGAGAGCGCACGACGTCGTTTCGCCCTTTGCACCCACGCCAGTGTCCAATTTTGCCGTAAATCTTCGAGGCCAGTAGCAGCAGAAAAAAGAGAAGATACTTTCTCTGTGGGTCGGAGTCGTATCAATGGCTGCCTTCACTCCTCTGCAGCATCCAGGAACCGCGATAACTTTCCACCACCATTGCAAACCTTCTCCATTCCCTTTCTATGCCGTTGTACCCACACTTCCATTTCCTACCCGTAACAAGTTCAGATGGCTCTGCTCCTACGCTACACCCAAGCCGCGCAGCGCTCCTTCTTCTTCTTCTCCTTCTTCCAGGGTCTATCGCCGGCAAAAGCCACGGAACCCATCTTCAGACGAGCCTAAATTCCTCAAAAGTGAAGAAAAGGCCATCGACCCACCAAGCCCAATCGCCCCAATTGTCCCCAAAGATGTTGATTTGGTGAGCCTGTGCAAGGACGGTGAAGTTGAGGAAGCAATAGACTACGTTGGTCAAGGTGTTCCCGCTGGTTACGAAGTGTTCGTCGCTCTATTGGACGCATGTCAGAGCTTGAAGTCGCTTGATTTGTGTAAAAAGGTGCACGCTTTGCTGAGGCGATCGCCGTTCTCTGGTGACACTGACCTGGGCAATAAGCTGATCCAGTTGTATGGGGAGTGTGGCAGTGTCAGGGATGCACGCGTGGTGTTCGATAGAATGCGCGATAGAAAGGACATGGGTTCTTGGCATTTGCTGATCAATGCGTATGCTGCTAACGGCCAGGGCGCCGAAGGGCTTGCGTTAGTTGAGGAAATGAAGGCCTCCGGATTGCAGCTCAACGAGGATAGCTTCAGTGCTGTCTTCGCAGTATGTGCAAGTGCCATGGATGTCAACCAAGGTTTGTTGCACCTTGAGTCCATGAGGACTGAGTACGGTATGGTTCCCGGTATCAAGCAGTATCTTGAAGTCATCCACATTTTCGGCGGGGCTGGTTATTTGAATGAGGCAGTTGAGTTTATCGAAAGAATGCCAACCGGACAATCCATGGTGGAAATCTGGGAGACCATCAAGAGTTATGCTAGAGTTCATGGCGATTTAGAGCTGGAAGATCACTTCGAGGAGTTGGTGCTCGATATTGATCCATCAAGAGCGAAGGAGAGCAGAGGAGTTGCTCTACTGCCACAGAGAAAGAATCACTCTGCCATAAACATGGTAGAGGAGAAAAACAGGCTGGCTGAATATCGTTCTTCTGATCCTTACAAGGAGGATGGACAGGGGAAAGTGAAAGGCTTGAATGGGCAGATGAAGGAGGCTGGATATGTGCCTGATACGAGATACGTGCTTCATGATATTGACGAGGAGGCAAAGGAGAGGGCACTGATGTATCACAGTGAGAGGTTGGCGATTGCTTACGGTTTGATCAGCACTCCAGCAAGGCAGACATTGAGAATCATGAAGAATCTTCGTATCTGCGGGGACTGTCACAATGCTATCAAAATAATGTCCAGGATAGTTGGGAGGGAGCTCATTGTTAGAGACAACAAGCGGTTTCATCATTTCAGAGATGGGAAATGTTCTTGTGGGGATTATTGGTGATCAAAAGCTCTTGTTATGCTGCTGTAAAAGTGTACTTTTTAATTTATTCATTGGAAATTCAGAATCCATATCTAATTCAATTTCCTGTAATCACTTTAAGGAACAAGAGACAGAAAACTCTGAAACCAAAGTCTTAAACATCCTTAGATGCATAACAGGAGATACAACTTGCAGACAATTAATCATGTACAACAAACATGTTAAATCAATACTTGAAGAAATCGATTCATGGCTTTCACGTCACATGCAAAGATTACTGTGAAGCAATTGGTGGAAATGGTACATGGCATTCTCTACAGTTGGAGCATATCTGCCACTGCAGTACGCTGGTGATTCCAGGCCTCTTTGTACACCGTCACATAGGATGATGTCTTCCATCTGCAGATAATACTGTGTTAGCAAATGCGTATCGTCCAACGAACAGCTGTGATAATAGAAGTTAAAAAGTCATACCTGCACTTTTTCGCTATCAATCAGGCTTTGCTCAATGAAAGATTTGTCATCCTGTTTCAACCATCGAAAGGCTAGTTACCTCATTCTCAGGTAAAGTGTGTCTTTCACCAATGATAGAACAGAAGGTTCAAAAATAGCATGTCAGCTAACGTGGAAGGAACCTTTAGTTACCTTGAGATGAGGTTCAATGAAGTAGTCAAATATCACTTGGCATTTCCTCGGCCCTAATGGGACTACCAGATTAGTGTCCATCCAAGGTCCATACCTGTGTGCACACGATTCACAGGAAGCTCGATCAAAAAGGAACAAAATTGGCTTGAAGATGAACAATTTCCCCAACTTAATTGATGAAAGCAAATACCTATTAATCATGAAATTTGGGTATATAAAAGCATACAAAGCTTTTGATCCCACTCTTTCTGTTGACCCACCTGCACAACTTTGGATGCTAACCTTTTCATAGGTCTATTGCACAGAATGGAACAACATAATTCACATAAGATACAGATAGGCAATAAGCTAGTACTGGCAATCACGAACATTCTGTAAAATAAGAAATGTAACGAATACCGTGGTGGAATACGAATCGAGCTCCAGACCAGATGCAAGGCCTTTATGTGCATATGGCACATGGTAACCTCCATCTAAGTAGTTATCACAAAACACCTGGATATGGTGGAAGAAATAGAAGCAAGGACCTTAGCAGAACACCATAAGAAATCAATGTCACTCAATGGCTGAACATAACAGATACATGCAATGCTATCAATCCTTAAAAGGGAAGGGATCTTCAAATTTGAAACCATGCTTTGCGTTTATTGAAACCTTGAGAAATTAGCACAAGACCATACCTTCCAGTTGCAATCGATCGTATACTCTCGCCTAAAGAGGTAACTTAGAGAAGTGTCAACTCCACCGCACTTCAGTAGTTCTGAGGTGCTGCCAAGCCATTCATTCTCAACTAGATCATTGTCACCAACATCATAATCAGGTGACATCTTCCTCTCTAGATTGAGAAGAACAAAAGGGCCCCATACTGCCACATCTATTGCGATGAGCCCGAACTCCTATTCTTCCAAAGATAGCAGTGAGAACCAACTAGATTACCCATCAATGCTGAATAGGAAGAATATGAAACGAAAGTGAGAAAGCTGAATCATGAGTGATAGAGCTATACATTTACGTTGAAATTTTGAATCCCCGTTATCCTTGTTGCTTTACGAAGTGCTCCATCTAACCCATATGTCCATCCCTGCAGTAAAAAAAGAATTTGGAGAAGCTTAATGGAGATTTTTGGCTAGATGAAGTGAAAAAGAATTATGCTTTTGCTTTGAGTCCACATGAAACTGAAACGTTGATGCAAAACCTCACATGGTAAGGGCACACGAAGCAAGTTTTCTGCCCACTTCCTGAAGCAAGAATGGAGGCATGATGACGGCAGACATTGTGGAAAGCTTGAACCTTTCCCTTCTCATCTCGACACACCACGAATTCTACCGTCCCCAACCTCCCAGTGAAGAAGTCACGAGGCTCTTTTATCTGCTCAGTATAGCCTGGGGCAAGTCAACAGACCTATTATATGGGGCCTCAAACTTTCCAAATTCAGGATGCTAAAGAGGAATTTTATCAAACACATAAAGAGCACGTAAAGGCAGAAACTGACCAACGGCTTGCCACCCTCTGTAGAAGACACGATCGAGCTCAAAATCATAGAAGGAAGCGTCAGTGTACCACGAGCTGGGTGGCGTCAGGGCTTTCTCAATCGGAACTTCTGGGTCGAACTCATGAACCAGCTTTTCACAGTGAGACTTCAGCGAATTTTCAGAATTGTGATGAAGGCTGCAACTTGCAACAGTGATCGACCGACGACGACGCCAATTTTCAGTTGTCAATGTACTGATCGGAGTCTGGTAAAAGCGACAGTGGCCACGTTGATGGCTGAGCGTCGGTTGGAGCCCGGTCTTGATGGTTTGGCCAGAGCCGATCATTGCTGCCATGGCCGAGCTTTAGAAACGGAGATGGCCGGAGAAGGAATAATAAAATTGTATTTCAGATAGGGATGAAGGAAACGGAGTGGAGCCAAAAGGGAGAAGTTGGAAAGAAGAAGAATTGTAAACTGCTATCATGCTGACATCCCAAAGTTGTCGTTTTCCCGGCTTTTTCAAGCATGTCGTCAATGGCAAGTTCGATTCCTCTGCCGCCCATCAACATAAGAAATGTTCCCTATGAAGCTAAATAATCGAAAACGGCTACTTACTTCCGCGGCAAAACCTCCCATGGTTTCGGTTCGGAATGAAATTAGTGAAGTGGTAGTGTTCAAAGAATTGCTTGGAAGGTGCTCGATAGATTGCTTCACAGATAAAGAACCCCTTTTTGCAGCGAGGTTGCTACATAAAATGGTAGGAATGCGCAGCAAATGGGCTCACGTTGTTCTGTTTTTGTAACGCAACTAAGGTAAAGTTCAACAACGGTAATTTCGCCTTCATCAGCAACCTGCAAAGATCTGGCTGAGTTCTTACGATGGTTTGAAATTCATCTCAGCAACTAAGATGACATGCAATTCATCTGAGCATCAAGTTGCATAAACCTTCGTTTTACTCGTCCAGTTTTATGTCATGTACTGAAGGCTGTATGATATATTAGGCTATCCAGATCAACAACAACAGAACACAGCATAGATGAAAACTGGGTCTTCAATGTTTTGACCTTTTCCTATGTACAGAAGATGAAGACTTAGGTCCTAAGTACTGACCTTTCCAGCTTTCCCCCACCACTGGGCTAGAAAATTATACAGGACTGCAACTGCGAGGCTTATTTAGCAGCCGCTCTGAGTCTGTGAGGTAGGATTACTTTACACTGTAACAATCATACAGAGTCGTAAAGAATTGAATGCATCGCTTATTACTGGCGTCGTTGAAGAATGTTAGCAACCGTATGGTTGTGTTGCCTAAGAATGAAGAGTGTGCTGACTATTCCTGTTCTCGGCTACAGCTTCTAAAGCTTCTCGTGAGGGTACTCTCAGGCACGATTTCATAACATCGTAAACTGTAAAACCAATTGCCACAGATGGAACAACCTGCAAAAAGACAAACTCTCAGGAGTCAGAACAACTCAGCATATCAGGAGGAAACGAAGGGCATAGGAACAGAAGATAATGCATGGTGTAATGCTCCCACCTTCAGGTAGTTTAGACTTAATCCTGAAAATAGCTGCTTCCACCCTTGCTTTTGTGCGATCATGACAAGTGTTTCCATTGTTCCTTTCAACTCAGCGTTACTAGATGCTGAAAGTGAAAGCCTTTCCACCTAATTAGGATTGTGTTAGTCAGGCGCCATTGAGATAACACCAGAAAAAGGCCACTGACTAAACAAACATAGATAGCACTGCAAGCCAGGTTACCTGCATTTGCCTCCTAACTACGTCAAGAGGGTACGTGAAGGTCTGACCTAATAAGCCAGCTACTGAGCCACAAACCAACTTGACTGAAATGTCTTTCTGATGCTTCTCAGGGACATGCAGTTTCATTTCCTCGTAGAAGTAAAACTTCAAGCCGGCATAAGGGAAGATCCCGTATAGAGATGGAGCTGAAATTGACATTAATGCACATTGGTCAGTCAAAAATCGAAAGAAATGAAGGTAACCATTGTCAGATATCTATGTTCAGCTGATTATATAGTACAAGGCTACAAGCTATGATGTACCACATACCAACCCCACGGTAAAGACCTCTCGCCCCCGACTCCTTCAAAGTCTTGGAAAAACAATCAACTATGCCTCTATACATTTGTTCAGAACCAACAGCACCACGAATGTTCATTGTTGGTGCACCAACAACCTGTACTGTCAAAATAGGCACTTCATTCAGAATGAACTCTGCTGTTCATTGGGAATCTGCAAAATCGCCCCTCGCGGAACAGAGGGTTAGTGAATCACCTGGTAAGCCAGTTTGGTCCGAACCAAGTCAAGCGGATAGGTGAAAAGAACAGCAGTCCCTCCAGCAAAGGATCCTGCCACAAGATCAAGGACAGGACCCCTACCCACATCAGGAAAGCTGAGTATGATCCATCTACGGTACTGCTCGTATGTCATGAAATGGAGGGCCGCGTAAGGTACGATTCGAGCAACACTAGCTCCATTCCCACTGCAGGTAGAAGATCCCAGATGCTTTAATTGGAGCATATAGCAACAGCAGTACATAAATGTTTTGTCCAGGGAGAGAGTGAAGGTCAAGAGTAGTCACCTATAGAATCCCTTAATCCCCTCATTTGTGGCAATCTTGTTTATTGAACCAAGCAGTCCAATAGCCTTGTATTCATCTCTTCTGGTCTGGAATATCACAATAACACACACACAGTTTATAACCCCAATTGTGCACATTAACAGCATTCACAAGCCAAGCATCCCAATGACCCAAATTCCCAGCCTTTTCTTCCATCCAAATGAAAAGGCAACCCATAAAACAGGCAAAAGTGGTCATAAATTCCATTTCGTGCAGAAAGATAGATTTCACTGTCTTCCCCAATTTCGCAGCCCCTTTTGACCTCTCTCTATCTCATGCATTGGTGACCATTGAATAGTTAAAGGAAGAGACAAAAAGCGAAGGGTAACCTGGAAGAGAATCTTGACGCGTTCAAGGGGCGCAACGACAGTCTTGGCAAAGCCACCGGCAACCCCGCCGGCGATGAGCTCCTTAGCAAAGACGGGCATGTTATCAATCATTCCGTCAAAGAAGAAGCTGCCCACCTCTCTTTCCTCTCTCTTACTCTTCGCCATTGATCTTCCACGGCAGAGCAAGGAGCGGAAAAGAGGGAGAGATGAAGAAGAAGAAGATTTTGGACCCAAAAAAAAAAGTCAGCAACTTTCACCTCGCAATAGTACAGAGAAGGGATGAAGAAGTATTGGGGAGAGAGATTGAGAGGGAAAGATCGGAGATTGGAGAAAGGGAAGGGAAGAGAATCAAAGAAAGAAGAACCGAAACGTTTTTGCTGGTTGATTTTTATATACGTGTTTAGGCCTTTGATTTGCCCGGGTACTGACTGCTGACGCCTGATAGACAGGTCAGAGGCCGACGACGCCCCTCCGCCTCCGCACGCCGTCGGTGAAACGTGGATTTGTATTTGGTCCCCTCTTGGGCTTTTCCCTTCCCTACGTTCCTAAGTCCTAACCTGTAAATGTAATAAATCTCACCCACAAGCATGGTAAAGGAAACCGTACCGGAGGTCATACCGGATCCGTCAGCGGTAGGGTATTTTATGGTACGACCGTGGTTCAATCGTTGTGTATCGGTAAAATACCGTTTTTGTAATTAAAAAATATTTTTTGACTAAAAAACCGTACCGGCAGATTTGGGATACCGTTTCGGAGTAATACCGGAATAAAACCGGAATATACCGGATAACAAACCTAAATAAACTAAATAGACATAATAGACATATGTAATATATATTATAAAGGGCAGAACATTGGAATAGGCAAAGCTCAGATTAGGTGGTGTCCCTTTGAAGAAGAAGCCGAGTTATATTCTATTCTACCAAAAAGGAAGAAAGAAAGAGAACAAGTGAACTTCTCGATTTAAATCTCCTTACATGATTTCCAAACTCCAACCGGCGGCAGGCTTGGCGCGGCGGAGGGGGAGGTTCGACGCAGCGGAGAGGGAGGCTAGTTGGCTTCAATTTAAGATATTCCCCAAAACGATACTCTGTTCATTGCAGTAATCCAAAAAGAGGCGATTATTACTGGACATTGAAACGTAGAAAAAAAATCTCAATACCAAACATGAAAATTACAACAAATCGGCCTCCCAGGGCGCTCTTCGCAGCGGAGAGGGATGCTCAGCACGGCGGCAGGCTCGTCCTCTGCCCTTCTCGCCGGTCGCCAGAGGCAGGGGAGGTCGAGCACACGCGGCGGCGGCGTTCTCTTGACTCGTATTGACTTATTCACGAGCTCGCCGGTGGCCGGACTGCTGGAGAAGACGAAGGACATGCGGCGGCGTCGATCGGCGGAAATCGATCGGACTGCTGGATAAATGGAGAAGAACTGGAGGGTGGCAATCGATCGACGGCCGGCGTCGAGCTCTTCTTCACGTCACTAGCAGGCAGGCGGCGATCTGGAGAAAGGAGGAGCGGCTGCGCCGCTACGGCAGGTGAAGTGAACAAATTTTGGACTTTGGAGAGAAGGGCCAAGAAGAATCGATTAGGGTTAGCAGAATAGTCCATTATTGTTTTTTTTTTATTGTTTTTTTTCGTCGACTTCGTCTACCGCCGGTCTGATGTAAACCGGACGGTATACCGGAAAATGCCGGTTACGCCGTTAATATCGGCCGGCGCGGTAGAATAGGCGCTGGTAGGGTGCCGTTTCGTCACTGGTCTGATTCCCGGTTGAACCGGTTGAACCGGCCGGTACGATCCGGTTTCCTTTACCATGCCCACAAGTAGGGATGCAATTTCGACCTGACCCGATTTACCCGACCTGTTTGACCTGTTTTGGGGCGGGGCGGGGCGGGCATGGGTACCTCTCATCGACCCGACCTGTCCTGACCCGCCCCATTCTCGACCCGTTCTTGTCTAAATTACATATAATCTTAGTCAAATTACTTAAGATTTTCCTCTTATTACATTATATTTTAGCTATAATAAAGTTGTAAATAAGTGAAAATCTCAATTTCTTCAATAATTTAACTACATTTTATCATATTATGGTTTCTTTCTTTGTCTTTCAATGAAAAGAACGAATATTTCTAATGTTTTTCACATAAATTACATATCCAATGGGTCGACCTGCCCCGACCCGCGCCCCGTGATAAATTACCCGACCTGGACCCGACCTGCCATGGGGCGGGTATGGGTATCGAGATACCCGCCCCGGACCTGCCCCATTGCCATTCCTGCCCACAAGATAATGGGCTGCGGGGCTAATGTAGACGATCTGACGAGGTTGTCAAACCGGTTTATACTGTTGTGCCGGTTTAGCAAATGAAATGGTACGATCGGTGGTATAACCAGTTTGTGCCGGTTCATGCCGGTTTAAAAAACTGTGAAAACAATTAATATTTCATGTATTTAATCATATATAAAACATATTTGTGGACAATTTAGTTACAATCCAACAAATATCATCAACTTTTAACTATTACATTCATAAAATGAATAATAAATTAATTTTTATTCATTAAACTCGTTAAAATGATGTCACTTTACTTTGAATGCGTACATCGATCATAACGGTCATACCGGTGGTGTCATGCCGGTTTCATGACCGGCACAGGTTGAACCAGGTTCAACCGGGTGGCATGCCACCAGCGTGACAACCATGCGATCTGACGATCATTTTTTTTAATGTACTTCATTTTCTATGTTATTGAACTGTACAGATTAACTAGTTTCTCTATTACTAGTGGAAGGAGTACCACTATCTCCGTGACAAAATCGATTTTAGGAGTATAGGTATAATATCCTATTACTATATCGTTTTATCAAATATGAGCGTCATACGTTGAAAAAACTATCAAACATGTCTTTTTATTAAAAATTTTATCCAAAACCTTCGACTTTCGGATAAAAATTTTAATAGAATGGTCGAACCTTGGTTTGAACGACACAAATGTCTAAAATATCCATAATAATTCCACTTTAGAATTATTTTTTTTTTTGGGTCTTTTGTATAACCAAATATCTTTAATAATTTGACTTTAACGAGATCTACATAAATAAATCAGAAGACAAAACTGACATTTTCTCTCCTATTTGTCGATGTCAGATCATCTAAATCTCGATTCAACCATAATTGAAGAATTTTCAATGAAAATTTTAACAGAAGGATATTGTTTGATCATTTTCCAAAGTACATGTTTGAGATAAAAAAATAAATAGTAAAGAGACAGTTAGATAAAGCTGCATAATAGATAGAGAAGCATAAAATGCTAATAGACATTGTCATTATCCTGCTTTAACTGATCAATCAAGAAACAAGATCTTAAGAAGTGAAGATAATCACTTGTATTCGCCCAAAGATCAAGTCCATACTGTATGCAGAGCATCATGTTTACTTTTGAGCACCAAAATTATTTTATCTTTCTTTAGGGGGTATTGAAAGGCCACCTTCTTGGACTGCAAATGGTGCCTACCAACCGTAATCTGCAGGCAAGGAATCTTTTGTTTTGATATTAACTATTCAGAAAATGGAATAGAATTGTTTGGTGCCTCAACCACACCAAAGAGGCAAAGACTGTACTTAGTGGGGAAGAAAGAGTTAAGCTCCTAGCCACTAATATAATAATACCCAGAGAAAAGAGTGAGGAAGTGGATCCAGCACTCACATGGACAATACTTGTAAAATCATCGGTTTCTCTACACACATCATGAAGAACACTTTGTTGCAGACCTAGAGATCTCTCTATAGAGTAGTCATAGTCGTAGAAATCTCCAGTAAGAATTGAATAACGTAACTTAGATTCCAATAACAACAAACACGCATGAAGAACACTTCACATCGTAATAACATCGTTTTCTCTCTAGGAAGTCTGAGCACAAGACACCAGCTTAAAACATAAACTATAGAGCACCCGTACGAATCCACAGTTTTAGTTCTGCTTTTGTTCCCAAGCAACTTGCACAGCAGGAACCAAGCTCCTACGAGTTCAGAAGCTATTGCCAGACAACAAGCACCCGTAGCTTCGCTCTATTCGGGTGTAATAATAAGGGCATCCCACCTAAAGTGATGCATTTCAATAGGTCAATAACACCGGGAGGATAGACCAAGAGATCTGCCTCGTTACCTGAAAACCGGCAGTATGAGGAATTCATTCAGCTCACAAGAATTGCTCAAGTAGTTTTTCCATCAGCAGATATGGTATGAATCAGGCGGAGGAGGATTTCTGCAAGCTCCTCGCCATCAGTCCATTCGTGAACTTCTGCCTTGATGAGCAGCGGGTCACTGTGAATTCGTGTCCATAGAGGATAGTTCTTCCTTGGCATTACATAATCACTTTCTCCAAGCTTCAGAGACGGGCAGTAATCACCACCGCCATCCCCAAGGTAGATAAATCGCTTATTCTCGTCGTTCGAAATGGAACTGCGAATTTGATTGATTATCAAGCCCTGCACACAAAGCCATACATAGAGAGGTCATTTAGTTACTGAACCTGCCACAAACAAGAGGTACAGAAATCAAGGATAAAATTCCTTTCTGCCCCTTGAGTCATAACATTTCCTGCAACTTGAAGATAACCTTATGTGTATATGTGTTTGTTGATATGAATTATCAACCTCAGCAACAATGGTTCAAACCATATGGCTATCAGCAAATGTTGGAATGTCGATACCTGCCGCGAAACTAGTTACCTTGCACATGTTGGAAGGACACAGGCAGCAGCCATGAGGAGATAAGCTGTGATCATGATAAGGCGAGATCCTAACCCTCCCGTGCTCATCCAACTCACCCGGGTTTGTGTCGATCTGTGAGAAGCATCCCAACAGTCCATGATGGTCCAAGATCTTCTCAATGAAAAAGAGGTTTGCATCACTAATGATTCTCAATTCACATCTGGGGAACGAACCACATCGCCAAAGAAAACAAAGCATAACCATCAAATTCTCTACACACATCACTAAAAGGGATGGGGATTTGGGTAAAGAGGTGAAGAGTACCACCCAAGGGCATGAGCTGATCTTATCGCTTCAATGACCTGCGGATGCAATGGAGTCTGACTTAAGCACTGAGCAATGTCCGCAGCTGTTTTCCCTTGAGAATGAAGCTCCACCATCATCCTATCCTAATAACAGCGAACTCAAATAGTTCAGAACATGGAAAGCACTAGCAGTTTGTAAAGGACTAATCAATCAAATAGCAGACTTTAAGCGGGAGATGAGGAGGTTTTTACCATAAGCGAGTTCCAGGGGAGCGTCGTGCGGAGCTGATTGAACAAAGATGAGAGACCCATTTGAGTCACCACCCATCTATCACTGTCTCCGTCGATTAAGGTCCGATCAAAGTCGAACACGACCACTATTCCGGCCATTCCACTACCGGCGGATTTGGGGGGTTTCACGGCGAGAAGCAGTCTGCTGAGTTGTCCGGACGGAAAATTTCTCACAGATGAGCCCGCATTTTCCGACGCTGGCGAAATGGGTGCTGAGGGAATTCGCTAGCCTGATCGCCTCGCCAGTCGCCGGTATTGTGGTATGCAAACTGGACTACTGGAGCCTGGTTCCTTTATTTATTCTCGTTGGGTTTTTTCACGTTGCAAGCTCGGGCCACAAGTTTCATAGTGTGACAACTTAATCAGCAGAATAACAATCTATGTTCATTTAGCCCCTAAAATTTGAGTTCTGAAACTAACCATCCCTATCTTAATAAACATGGAGATTTGTCGATTAATATTGAGGGACGATGAGATGTCGCAGACCTCGTATTGAGTATAAGCCAGGTCGGATAATAAGCATATAAGCCTATACGACCAGAGATGATCTCATTTCGATATACAATTAGAGAAGAAACATCACATTTCGATCTTAACATGAAAAAACGAAGAGGAAAGATAGGAGATGTGAAGTGCAAATTCATAGGTTATCTCTCAGAGCCAACCATACCAGTTCTTTCTTGTTTTGCTTTGACCATGTTTTGTATAAATTACAATCACTTGGCTAGTAAGCTTGCTTTCCCGTCGGATACAATAATCAGATACAAAAATTACTGAAACCAGAATCATAAGAACTTTTTACACATACAACCTAAGCTAGTAAGCTTGCTTTCCTGTCACCTACAAAACCAAATTCGACTCTTAACAAAAACTGTTGCGCGAAAAATGCAAGCTATGCTGCAGGCAACAGCACACCAGTGAGACTAAACTGAGACAGACAGCAACACACGTTTGCATCACGAAGAACCAGGAGCAGGACCATTTGACGGGCCATTCTTGGATCGTCTCCATCGTGCTTTCTTCTTTGCTGATCCCTTCTCTTCCGTCCAGCTCTTCTTGGCTGATGATTTGTCCTTGAGCTTCTTAACCTCACTGCCACCATTCTCTTCTTTTGATCTCTTCTTGCTCGACTTCCTGCCCACACTGGAAGAAGCCAACTTCCGCTTCTTTCCAGAAGACGATGGGTCCTCGGCAAACCCACCATTCCCACGAGGCAATGCTTCCTCGTCGTCCAACTGCCAATTGCACATGATCTCCTGGTGATCATATCGTGACTGTAATGGCTCCCCGGCTCCAGGTAACAAACTGTTGAAGGTTACGTCCCCGTTCTGCCCTCCTTTGCGCTGCAGCAGCACTGGGTCTGGTCTAATGATGGTCCCCAGAATGCTCCTGTTTGGGCCCAAACTGAAGATTGTCTTCGGATTTGTCAGAGTTGAATGGGCCATGGCAAATGCTGATCTAACCTGGGAAAAGGAAAAACAAACAGTTCAGCGTATAGCATATATAGGTGGTGTGCAGCTTCATTTGGAGAGTGCATATTTCAAAAGCAAATGGGAGAACATCACGGCAAGGAACGAACCTGGAAATAGTTGAAGGAGTTCTTGCCGATGTCATTCCCAGGTGCCTGTAAGCAGATTAGAATGGGTTAGGAGACCCAGAAAATACAACTCAAGCTCTAACAGTCTAACTTCATCACAATCTATGCAGACATTGCCAGTCCAGAATGCAGTAGATCAGTAAAATCTCCCATCAATCTTAACATATATAGAACAAATATTCACCCAAAACTCATACATAACACTTGCTTCCATATAAGTCACTTTTTAAAGCTAAATCCAAAAAAAGCACACCCTTAGACATTCACTCCCTAACAGAGGCCCAGCTAACATGAGAGGAAATTCAGTATAAACCTGTGGATCCTCGATGGAAATGAGAAATGGCCTTCCATTATTCATAAACCTGAACCAAAAGGAAAACACACAAGTTACAGAATGGAAGAGGCTTGTGACCTCTTAATATTTCAAATCAGTATATTGGTTTTACCCCTTGGCACGCTTTGAAAAGAATCCATTGCAAGAGATACCTACATCGCTGGTGCACAATTTGCGGCCATATAGATCAAAAAAGTGTATCTGCCATCCAAAAACAACACCAAACTTTGATTAATTATGAGAATTTGCTCCCGCCTTCAAATAATTTGCTCATAAGGTTCTATCCCAACATTTTCTCTAATATTTTAGCTTGAAAACATATAAAAAAACATAATCACCCTATAAAATGTCTTTTATTTGAAAGAACATACCAAGAGAACTCCCAAATTGTGTTCTGGAGTACGATCCAAACTCAGATTCTGTAATCATCAAAGGATAATGAGTCAGGAGCACTGTCAATATAAGAGAGCCAAAAAAAAAAAAAAAAAGACGATAGGCTAATAACTTCAATAAAATGTAACGAACAAGATTGACAAAAATATAAGCATTTTCAGCATATACAGAGATTAACCATTTTAGAGAGTTCACAGCACAATCCATCTCACAGAAAATATTACTATAGAACCAACTCGAGCTTCATTAATACTTTCCCCTACCTGGAAGCTGCATCTAGTTACCTTTAACACAGCCAACAGCATGGTAAGCAGCGCGTACGAACCTACCCCACCAGTGTACACCTGCACAAATTTTGAGGGATGATCAATCAGGAAGAAAAAAGGTAATGCTAGATGACTTATGCAGTCTCACAGAGAAAGATGAAAATTATGACATTTGCAACGTGACATGAATAATCAATTACAAGATAGATGTCAGTTCAATACCTCATTGAGTTCTCTTTGTTGTAAGAATACTTTCAAAATTAGACACAAAGGTCGTAAAGAAGGCCACTGTGCTACTGCGTCCTGAAAAGTGAACAGATAGTCGGCATGAATTCATAATCATCTCATAAATGAGCAAACAGATAGGACCAAATGTGCAAACATAGCACCTGCATTAGAAGCCAATAACATAATATATTTAATGCTTCATGCAAACTCAGGTTCTAGGTTTCTCCTGTATTCTGGGTTTCTCGTCCAGAGACTAAAGATAGCCCATCTGCTAAACCCTAAATCCCCTTTCCATTTTTCAGAACAAGGGGAATATCTTAACCCTAACAGCGCAAACCTGAGGATCGTCCAACCTCCATAGAATATTATGTAAAGAACGAAACGCCAAGATGATTGCATTACAAACTTTTATAACTAAACTAGTCAAGCTGTGAGGCCCTAGAGTTCCATCCTAGAATAGCATCAACAGTTTAAAACCTATTGCTTGCTCTCTGGAGATATACAACCTGTTGCCCATGAACCATAAGCCAAAGCATACATAAATCGCATCCAGAAATTACTAATTGCCAGTTGGCTATAGAAATATAAGCATATCAAGTTACTAATCCATAGGAACACAGCCAAAGTGACCACTCTTGCAACAGACAGCAGGCTAAAAGAGGATAAATGGCCCCTGCAAGAGAAATCAAATATGCAATACACCGATCAAGGAGACAACAAACCTGAATAAAATCAGCAGCTTTTGGACCATTCTCCAAATCAAAACTGCAAATAAACAAGATAATAACTTGTCATTATCTTATAAAGAGGAAGAAAAAAAGTTGCCATGCTTTAGTGCAAAGTGCCAATCAATAATGGAGTAAAATTCATGGCTTTGTTTCCATGTTGCTCTGAAACACTGTTATATTGTTGTTCCCAACATTGTCATATCTATTCCAGTGTTTTAGGAACAAGGCTACATCAACTTATTATCATTGGCCTAAGCTCACATTTTTGTTCTGCCGGGTTAATGTGTTTCCCACAGTCAAAAACTTGAATGCATTCATTGCTTTCATCTACCACTACCACTAGGCCAGCCATTTCCACCTGCGCAAGGCTCCAAATTTAGTCCTACCTCAACTTAACATTGGACAGGTCTTGTGTTCCGTATCTTCGTACCCTAATTTTCGTGATTGAAACTTTGATTACACAAGCAAATCAAACGATTTAAAATCCCCAGCAAACTGTTTCTAAATGATTTTGTGCAGATGAAGTTCATGCATTCATACAACATGCCACAGACAGAAAGACTTAGAAGGCTTTCATCAGGTAAGTTTTCGCAGTACCAATGAAAAAGATAAGGAACTACACCTTAAGTCAAATGAGATGCCACTTCTTTTTTCTACAAACTTAATGATCGGCACACGAGCCTTTGCAATGACCTGAAAGGCAAGAGAAAAAAATAACAGATTAGAAGTTGCCTATTTATATGTTTCATTTTGATATATGATTTATACATCAAAGGAGCAATACCAGTATCTTCTTTGCAATTCCTCTTTGAGACAAAGCTCTGGAAAGAGCATGTAAACCAGTTTGTGGACTCACAACATGCGAGTTCAAAATTACAACCTAAGATTAACATAACAGTTATTTAATCAGTTTATTCATAGTAACTGGCCGTAGTAGAAAATGAACACAGCTTGTAAGTGACTTTTCACACTCCATACATCAACATCGCTTGTTGGAAGATAAAGACCAGTCCTGAAAGACCCAAAAACTTCCACCTACAAAACAACAGCAGCAACCATCAGACCTTCATAGCAAAGCCAACCCAAGTAGAGGAACTAGTATTTTCTTTTTATAGTGAGCTTTGCCTCAACAGTGATGAGTATATGACTAGGAAATCAAAATTGCATCCTAAAATTTTGTGCTATAGTCTTCAGACAAGTTCGCTACAGACTTTTAGACAACTGAGCCACCATATTCCTAGTCAATTGAACATATACATATGTAATCTATATCCAACTGCATCTTTTCAGGCGTGCACTAACAGTCTAGCACGAAGAGCCACTAGTCACCTTGCAACGAGGCCATATATATTTTATAACATCACAAACACTTTCCACTGCTGCTCTACGTGAAGCTTGTTCTTCAAGAGTAGGGGACAAGAAATCACAGAAATCCACTATCTCTGCAACATCCACACCATTGGCCCAGGTTAGTGAACACCATCGCTAAACATCAGTCGAAAAGAAAGTGAGACCATAAACATCATGAAGTTACTTCCTCCAATTTCTAGTTAAAAACTATGCAGCATCAGAAAAACATTAGAAACCAAGAATGAAGTTAACAGCGGTAGTAAAATATCTCACATTGAGTCCAAAACACGGACATGCAGTGAACTCACAACGCCATTAGGCACAATTGCATTTAATATAATGAAACTATTGTTTTATCCTCCAATGTCCTCTAGAAAAGTGAAGAATGGAGTGAATCTCAGAAGAAAGAATGAGGTTAGTATTGCCAACTCTTGTAACAGAGCATTAAAATGCTCAATTACTGGAAGTATTTGAAGAAAGTTGAACACGTTGTAGTTAGTAGTTATCAACAAGCATGAGTGCTAGCAATTTTAAGCAAGAACCAATGCGAAACATTGCCACCCTGATTGAATAAATGTCATATTCAACCAAAAGCTTCAAAATCAGATAAAAAGAATCAAACTTTTCATGCAACTAAATGAAATGTAGAAAAACAAGACCCTTCAGAATCAGACAAAAAGAATCAAACTTTTCATGCAACTAAATGAAATGTAGAAAAACTAGTTCTCAGTATCACATCTAACCCGATAACACAAACCCTTCAGGGGAAACTCAAACAAAAACCAATGCAGCATTCACCTTTATGCAGCTGCAACAAGGGACTCTTAAACCTGCCATTCCCACTAAACCATCCACTCTCCAGCCTGGGCTCCGTCTCACCCACCGGCTCAGCAGTTCCAGTTACCACAGGACTGGTCGACTCAGCTTCTCCACTCGGGGTCCTGAACTCTGCGTCCTCAACTTCATCGTCGCAAACATCAAGAGAAAAGAACTCGGGAGCCGCCGACGTCACCACGCATGCAGAAGGAACTTCGTCGGGGGCTACTTCATTGCGGAGCACTGTATAAGGCTCGGGAGATTGAGGCGGCACGGGGCCTTCGGTGGTAGGGGTAGATGGTGATGTTGGGGCGGAAGAAGAAAGGGGAAGAATGGCTAGGGTTTCATACACAGGGACCGGCGTTCCGGCAGGTGAATCCATCGGAGAAAATTGACGATTGCCCACGCACCGTCCCGGTAATCTACTTCCACAACTTAAGTCAATTAGCTTGCGCAAGTTGTGTTGAATGTCAAGTAGATCAATTTATCGCACCGCCGTGGTGGACAGACAGTTTCCCCCAATCTCTAGGGTTGGAGGTTTAAGTTGCTGCGGTCATTGATCTTCCCTTCTGCGGTTTTTCCCTCGTCAGGATAGTTTGATAATATACGCGTAATAATTACATAAATGGGCACTAAAAATTTTGTTATGAGAAAATATTGTATTGATGCCTAGATGTAAAAAAAATTGGTGTATATGTACTTATTGTAGTTAAGTTATATTAACTTGAAATGTTACTATTACCTATTGTTTTTAATATAAAAAACGAATACACATAAAAAGGTAGGGATATAGTTGGGGAAAAAACCCCTACAAAGTATGAAGCTCTATCGAAAAGTGAATGTCCCAAGATAGCAAGATAATCTCCACATGCTTGATCCTCATAGTCCAAGGAGTAAGGACGAGCTAGCCATCACCTAATCTCGATGATGCAAGCGTAATGTGGGTGATGATGGATGGCTATCTCAATGAGATCTTTCGCCATTGTTGTGTCTATTTGGAGAAGGAACTTCCTAGCCCCAGTGCCTATATAAGTTTCAAACCTTGCACAATTATAGTCAACTCCGCATGGTGATCAAATCCTCCGCCAAAGTTCACTAAGAAAGCTTTGATGAAGCGACGTTTCCCCAAACCATGTGGTTAGCTGTCGTGCTTGAAGTAGAGTGAATAATCGATCATTCGATATTGAGGCATATCCAATCCTCCTATGTTGGTTGCTAGCTAATGAATCGTCTTTCTTAGAGTCCCTCATCTCCAAAAGATTATCCTTCTTCATGAAAGCCGCAATAATCTGCTACTTAAGCTGAATGGTATGAGCAAGGATATGTGTAGGTCTTCTCAACTCACCTTGGAACAAGTGACTATTCTTATTCTTCCACAATAGCCAACATGTGCCTGCAAAGAGAGTAGCATCAGTCTCCTTTCTTCTATCTGATGTGTAGTAATGGATCACTGAGTTTGTTGTTCGAAACAACACTCGCTAGGTTCGCCTTTAATATCGGAAAACGTGCAACACACTCTCTGCTCCACTTCCACAAATCTTGCAATCGTCGTTCTTCGTCAAGTGTCCTTGTTTCCTTTCGGTGTTGGTGAGGAGGCGCTCGTGAGTGACTAGCGAGAGAAATGTCCAAACTCTCTACATTATACGTACCCTCCAAATTGACCTCCAGATAGAATCGAACGTCGAGGAGACTCCGATATGGTCGGTGAGAGCATACACTATATTGATAGAGAATTGTCTGTTGGCCATCAATCTCCAGAAGTGCACATCCTCCTCGTGCTCCAACGGGATTGGGTGAAGCTTCACTTGTGCAACGATATCCGCAAGTAAGTAAGCCTTCAAAATTTCAAAATTTCACCTACCATTCAAAACAAACTTCGACCCGGAAGGCTAAGGAATTCATGGGGGATGCCCAGGGCGAGTGCTTTCTGTGGCTCGTAATCAGTAAGCCGGCGGTCACTCCAAAATCGAATTGTTCTCCTATTTTTATGTTCCAAGTTGTTCCTTCTTCAAGGAGGTGCCACACGCGCAACACTTCACGTCACAAATTAGAGAGGCGACCTCGAGCTCGCGGTTCGAGACCCTCTGGAGTCTGTTTTAAGCACTTTTAGCGTATCACTAGAGCATAGATGTCGTTTGGTTGGTTGAGAAGTCTTCATGCCACATTCATCATATACAACTCATTGGTACAAGCCGAGTCCATAAAACTCAATCCTCCTTCTTTCTTCTGCTGACAAACAGTTACCCAATCAGCCAAGTGGATCTTTCTTCCGCTTTATGTGCTTCCCCATATAAATCCTCGGATTTTATTGTCTATATAGTCGTGGACACTCGATGGGAGGAAGGAGGTTTGCATGGTATAAGCTGGGAGAGAGGAGAGGACTGAGTGCGCAAGTGTAACACGCACCGCAATAGACATGGTGGTTGCTTTGCAACCTGCAAGACGAGCATCAATACGATCAATCAGATTAGTACCAGTAGCCTTGGAGACTCTGTTGTGGATGATTGGGACTCCCATATATCTCCCCAAGTTCGAAGTTTGAGGAATCCTCATAGTTGCAGTCAACAACGTTCGCTGCTGATGGGGGACATTGACCGAGAAAAGTCATTGACTTCGGTTTGATGATGTTCTCCTCCGAATGTTCTAATTTATAAGAAATTTATTGTAAAAATTCCATCCAAATTTACTTGCATTGCAAGTTGGCTTTTTCTTTTTTACTTATGAAGTGCCCAAATTTAAATTTGGAATCTTTCACCGTAAAGGGGAAAAAAAACTCTCTCCGTCTTTGTTCCCGACTCCACCAGCGGCGGGCGTCCCAGTTCGGAAGCAGCGCCGGCGGGGGATGTCTCCCTCTTCCGTCTCCAGGTGAATCATCCCCTGTTCCCCTGTTCTATTTATACAGGAACTTTTCAGTCTATATGGAATCTGAATTCATTACCAGGAGCATGCCTAAACTTCTGCCAAATTCTCCTACTCTCCTCTGTCTGCCTACTTGTTGGAAACAAGCTGCTCCCTTTTCCTTGCCTGGAGCTCAGCGTTCAACTTCCTGGCTACCTTCTTTCTGTGTTAAAATTCGCGGTTCAGCTACTTCCACTGCTACTGAAGTACAGCCCACGCGTCATTTTTATGCCAATCGTTCACCAGAGTCGCCGGAAGGATGCCGTGAGGCAAGTAAGAAGGTATCCGGGGATTCTTCAAACAAGGTATTGAAGAGGCAGGGGAAGATTGGTTTTTCAAAGGAGAGGCTAAAACAGTATTCTGCTATGCTTCGGGAATGTGCTTCGAAAGTGGCGCTAAACGAGGGGAGGGCAGTTCATGGGAATCTCATTAGGAATGGGGTGGTGCCGGATTCTCATTTATGGGTTTCTTTAACCAGTTTTTATGGTAAGTGCGGGCGTCTAGAGTTTGCACGCAAAGTGCTTGATGAAACGCCTGAACGTGATGTTGTGTCGTGGACGGCTTTAATTTCCGGGTTTGTCAGCGAAGGGTGTGGGGATGATGCTGTTGCCCTCTATTGTGTAATGAGAAACGAAGACGTGAGGCCGAATGAATATGTGTTGGCTACTACACTGAAAGCGTGCTCTCTCAGCTTGGATGTGGAGCTTGGTAGGCAAGTACATGCAGAGGCAGTAAAGGCCGGGTTGTTAACCGACTTGTTTGTTGCCTCTGGTCTTGTGGATCTTTATGCTAAATGTAAGGAGATAGAACTTGCAGATTCAGTGTTCTTTAGCATGCCTGAGAGGAACGAGGTCTTGTGGAACGTGTTGCTGAATGGTTATGCTCAACTTGGCGATGGGAAAGCTGTTTTGAAGTTGTTTTCCCTGATGGTTGAGTGGGAACATAAGTTGAACCGGTTTACTTTGTCAACTGTGTTAAAGGGTTGTGCGAAATCCGGGCATTTGAAAGAAGGCAAGCTTTTGCATTCTGTTGCAATCAAGACTGGGCAAGAAGTTGACGAATTTGTGGCGTCTTGTTTGGTTGATATGTATTCCAAGTGTGGAATGACAGGCTATGCATTACAAGTCTTCAAAAGGATAAAAGATCCTGATCTTGTAACCTGGAGTGCAATGATTTCTGGTCTTGATCAGCAAGGGTGTAGCCATGATGCAGCTGAGTTATACAAGGCAATGGTACTTGCAGGAGTTAGACCTAATCAATATATTTTTAGCAGCCTTGTTAGTGCTGCTACAAGTATGGGGGATCTGCGCTTTGGCAAAACGATTCATGCATATATATCTAAATATGAAATGGAGGATGATATGTTAGTTAGCAATGCGCTGATCATGATGTATATGAAGCATGGACAGTTACAAGATGGTATTCAGGTTTTTAATTCAATGCCAGAGCAGGACACAGCATCTTGGAGCTACCTTTTATCTGGATTTTGTGACTCTAACACGTGTGAGGAAGCACCAAGGATCTTCTACCAGATGCTTGTGGAGGGCTTCAATCCCAACATGTATACTTTCATAGACATCTTAAGGTCATGTTCTAGCCTCTCAGATGTACATTTCGGTAGGCAAGTGCATACTCACATCATTAAGAACTGCAATGACAGTAATGATTTTGTCAGAACTGCTCTTATTGATATGTATGCGAAAGCAAGATGTATAGAAGATGCAGTAGCAGTGTTCAACAGATTGGTTGATCGAGACCTTTTTACATGGACAACTATGATTGATGGTTATGCAAAAACAAATCAACCAGAAATGGCTTTGAAACATTTTGTTGATATGCAAAGTGAAGGGGTAAAGCCCAATGAGTTCACTATTGCCAGCTGTTTAAATGCATGCTCCCATATGGCAACCCTGGAAGGAGGGCAGCAGCTACATTCTATGGTTGTCAAAGCTGGTCACACGGGTGACATTATTGTGGCCACTGCAATCACTGATATGTACGGAAAATGTGGATGCTTGGAAGATGCTGAGGCAAATTTCAAAGATATGGTTTTGAGAGATGCAGTCTCTTGGAACACAATTATTGCTGTTTATGCATACCACAGCCAAGGGGAAAATGCTCTTCAAGCCTATAGAATGATGATAGAGAAAGGATTTTTACCTGATGAAGCGACTTTCTTAAGCATCCTATCCGTGTGCAGCAACATGGGTTTAGTTGAGGAAGGAAAGAAGCACTTTGAGTCAATGAGCAAAGTTTATGGGATTACACCTTCGCTTGAGCATTATGCATGCGTGGTCAATATTCTTAGTCGGGCTGGTCAGTTTGATGAGGTTGAAGCCTTTATTAAGGAGCAAAAATTAAGCACACATGCCTTGATTTGGGAGACTGTGCTTGGAGCTTGTAAATTGCATGGAAATCTTGACCTTGGTGAAACTGCTGCTAGGAAACTGTTTGAACTCCAACCCAAGGAGGACTCAGCTTATGTATTTCTATCGAACATTTTTGCTTCTAAAGGTAGGTGGGACGACGTCCAGAAGATCAGAGTATTGATGTCGGAGGAAGGCATTAAGAAGGAACCTGGTTGTAGCTGGGTTGGTGTTGATGGTCAAGTACATGTCTTTGTTTCTCAAGATGGTTCTCATCCCAAGACAGAACAAATCTACGCTAAGTTGCAGGATTTGAAGCAAAGGCTGTCATTCAGTGGTTATATACCAAAAACAGAAAATGTGCTTCATAACATCAGCAGCAGAGAGAAAATTGAGCATCTCTGGCATCACAGTGAGAGACTGGCTCTCGGTTTGGCCCTCATAAGTGCCAGCCCTGGTATGCCTATACGTATTTTTAAGAATCTGCGGATATGCGAGGATTGCCATGAAGTTATGAAGGTTATCTCGTATGTTACAAGTCGAGAAATAGTAATCCGCGACTTTAAGCGCTTCCATCATTTTAAGTTGGGTTCTTGCTCTTGCCAAGACAGTTGGTGACTCTGAATGCAGCCAAAGTGCTTATTTGTTGTAATGATCGATGTGAATATCTTTGCTAGAATATAATTTATAGACCTCATGGTACTGCTAACTGCTAGGGGATTGACTTTGTACATTTCAGAAGTCATTTTCTTCTTTTGTAAAAAGAACACCAAAGAACTGTTCTTTTACTCGTGTTAGCATTTCAGTATTTTCAGTTAATGCTCAGGATCGCTGAACCACAGGAAATTCTGAGTTTAGTATATAGGATCAACCAAATAGGTTTGGTCGGCTTTGTATTGGAATTTGGAGGTATTCTATGTACATTCATTCCTTACATTTACTTATTCTGGTCCAGGAGAAGACAAACTGTGGTAGCAATGGGGATATTGCAGGCAGGTCATCATGTAGAAGAACTGATCCAGCATTTTGACATCGAATTGAACAACTGCGGCAACCTCTGAACAGATTCTATGTTCCAAATATTTCGCAACTTGATTGAAGTGTACGTCTGACGACTTACCAGAGCAGAGTTTTTGGAAGCAATAGATTGATGGAACACTTGCATTCGAGTTTTTGCACAGGGGTTTTCTTGCCTTTGTATGTGGTAGTGGTACAGTGTTGTTTATATGCATAACATTTATGCAGTGAAGAGAATACGATTGTAAATCCTTACCGCACCAATATTTTGTAATGACAACAGAACACATTGTTCAAAAAATAAAATCAGAATACACTCTTTCACTATGCTACAAAGGTTAAAAGGTTGCCTCATTTAGCAGCTGACCAGGCAGACAAAATGTCATCTCCAATTGACTCGGAATAAAAATGTGATTGCACTACATTCACGAATGTGATTGACTCAGTCCTCTTCTCTCAATGCCAAAAACTCATTAATAAGTCAGGCATCCTCGTCACTGGTAGGGTTCTCTACTTCACTCTCACTGCTTGAACCATCATCACTGAGCACTGCATCTGAATCAGAAGTACCATCAGATAGCTCTTCTGCAGCAACAAGTTTGCTTCTTTTCTTCTTGTTCTTCCCCTCACTTCGGTCTTCTTTTCGTTTCTTACCTTCTTTTCTTTCCAACACTGCCATAGAGTGTGCAGCAGTCATGAAGGCAGCTGTCATTGATAAATTGTTCACCTCTTCGTCTTTTTCTTCATCATAATCTTCTCCTTTTTCTCCCTTGTTATCAATGTAGATCGGAAGATCGGAATCCACTATATTTCCCTCCGGTTCGACATTCTCAGCTTTGGAAGAAGAATCAAGCGCAAGTTTGACACGAGTCCGTGAGATGCTATCGTCATATATTCTTATGCCTTGACCCTCAAGGGAGAACAACCATTCTGGGGAGAAAAGGATAACAATTCATCTCCTTCAGTCTCACAGTAAAGAGAGAAAAATGCAGAGACAGACAGATAGAAACACTTACTTATGAGAGCCTTAGGAGATGAAACATGCAACCTGCCTGCTTCTTCCCCCATGCCAATCTGGCTTGTGACAAATTTGGCTATTTGCAATGGTAATGGAGAACCAGCGAAGGAACTGGAATAGGAAATGGCCCTCTTATGGTTCCCTTCTTTCCTAAAACAAGTAAGTCAGAGATTGATGAGATGCTGCAGAAGGACATTTTCTAGGTTCCCTTTCAGTAAAAAACCTATCGTCCACTTACCTGAAAAATTCTGTGGCCTCAAGATAGAGGACCAGCCGCTTCAAGGCAATGCTTATGAAATTCTCTGCAGGCAGATCAACTGCAGTACGAGGATTGAGGGAAGTGTACTCTACCAATATGACAGCATCATACAAAGTAGTTCTCAGCAAGATCTCCTCTTCAGAACTCTGCGAATTGTAGATAGTGTGAGTTAATAACCACATGGTAATGGACTAATGGTTAAATAAAAAGAAAACAGACTTCTTCAGCAACAAAGCGAACCGATGAACAGATGCAACTTACCAGCAGTGAAGCGACCGGTAATCTCGGCTCTAGCAGCATCCTCAACAGAATATCTAGAATGACAAGAGTTTAAGACACAACTGTAAGGAAGAGCCCATAGGAAATGGAACTATAGAACATAACTTCCAAAATTATCCAGCCATTTAACTGCATCCTCAATCACGAAAGCAGTTTTTATATGACCAGAAATGTATACACCCAAATTAGAGAAGTACAGGCAGAACAATGCTTCAACCATAATTCAGGAGTAATAGTCCAAGTCCAGCAGAACACTTACCAAAAAAAGAAACGCTCCCAAAGCCAGTAATTGACCCGACAATCCAATCCTTCAAATCCTTCTCCATCTCCACTCCTCTGTTCCCAACCCGTAAATCAACGCAAAGCTTCAACAGGAATAACTCCGCAGTAACAGCTCCAGCCAACTGCTCCACACTAAACCCACCAGCACCAATCACTCTGCGCAATTCATCATTCAGAAGCGGCAAAAACGACGACACCTCTTCCTTCCCTTCCATCCACACAGCGACCAAATCCGCAAACTTTACAATCAAGCTCGAATCCTTCTCTTCACTCGAAGCCCCCGAACACACACCGACATAACCGAGAACAGACCCAATCAAAGACTGAACCTTTTTAACCAGTTTCTTCACTCTCTTGGCCCCTAAATCTCCGCTCAATACTTCTTGAACCAATTTATACAGCTCGAAGACAACCGGAGCCAGCAGCGCCATGCTTGTCGAGTCACTGCAAGGTGCGGAACAACCCGAGACGAGCTGAAAGAGTTGTTTCACGGCTGCGAGTCGATCGGAAGAACCCTCATTTCCCGTCTTCAGGGAGCGGAAGGATAGAGCTGAGTAGAACCAAATGGCTTCCAGAGGTGGGTCGCGCTTCGATTGCATTAGCTCGTAGAAAACTTGGATAAACTGAGAGAAATTTGGGGTTTCTTTGCGAATTTCATCGACGACATCTTTTGCTGATTGGTTCAGCTTTTCGAAGTAGTTTTCCCCCATAAGAGGAATAGGGTACACGAGCTCCATATCACACGACGCCATGGCCGTTTGCCAGAGAATTGGGGGTAGGGAAAGCAGTGGAGCGGACAGCGGAGGACTGAAGAAACCACAAAACCCTAAACCAGGGTTTTGAAGGTTTTGCTTATGCCGCCAGACGGGAAAACAACGTCGTTTGGTCTAGGTTTTCTGTCCAAAATTACGGGAACTAAATTATACATTCATTTAAAGTAAAAGTACTAAAATAGCAGTTAGTCAACATTATAGGGACTAATGTAAGATTTTCCCGAACGAATTAAAAAATAACCCGGGTTTTTAGTATTTACGTGTTTTCTTGCAGCTGATTGGCTGCAAGATCTGGGCCCCACTTAACGGCCATCGAACAGCCAATCAGAATCGAGCGAACACGTCTCCCCATCTCACTCTCTCCAACTTTCAAAGTTTTCAATTTGATTTTGAACTGAACTGAAGCACGCCAACAGACCAAACTGGGAAAAAGCTGAACGAAGGATCAAATCTTCGATACATAAAGAAACCTTCTTCGGCAGTCTCGTGTAAAGATTCGAACTTTCCCGCGGCCGGAGATCAGGGTTAGTAGGCGTTCTCTGAGCGGATCCACAATGGGGCGGCGGACGATGGCGGTCCTGACGGCGGTGGTGATGCTGGTTTTGTTGGTTCCGGAGTCGATCTGTGCGAAGAAAGTCGAAACAGCTGCGAGGAAAGAGGACGTTAAGTACATCAAATGCCAAGTCTGTGAGAGGATTGCGACACAATTGCAGCAGCAGGTTCAGAAGAAGCAAGCACAGATCTCACCCAAGAAGGTGATTTTGATTTGGAAAACTGGGGGTTTGGTGGGTTTAACAGGAATTGCGAGATTGTGTACCCTTTTGGGCTTACGTGTTTGAGTTGTTTGGTTATTTCTAGATCTCTGAGTACCAAATAATCGAGATTGCGGAGAATGTGTGCAATTTGAAGAAGGAAGAGGCTGATTGGATCACCAGGATTGATATTGTGGAGAAAGGAGACAAGTTGGAGGTAACTTTGGAGAAAGACTTTTGCTTGAGCTTCATCTTATTGGGTTTAGAGTTTAGTTTTAGTTGATCATTTAATTGGTAATTGACGAATTGTTGGTATGTTGTTATATTAGCTGGTAGAGCAAGAAGAGGAAGGAATGTGCAATGCGGAATGTAAGACAATCGAAAAGGCGTGCCAAGAGGTGAGAGCTTTTCCCTTCTGCGGTTCAGGAGATGGAAAAGAGAAACTCTCTGTAGCTGTTGTACCGTGGTTCGGTTCTGAGAATACATTAAATATGTTGCAGGTTATGGGGTATTCTGATACTGATGTTGCTGAGTACATGTATAGTTCCAAGCCTCAGCTTGATCAGTTGGTAAACCATCTCTGCAAGGACCTGTCTGGAGCTTGCAGTAAGAAGCCACCTCCAGTTCCTAAGGTATTCAATTCAGAGTTTATATCCCATGTTATGAGGTGGCTAAATCCAATGATTGGTTTTCCATAGTACAAAGCGAACACAATCTATATGCTAGGGATCTGTCTTTGCTGACTAGAATGGCCCAGTTAGTGTGTAGTGCCAAACAGTATTAGAAGGTACTGATGTTACTGCAGAATAGTCGTTATGGCATGTTTGTGCTCACTGTTTATAGTTGAGAGGCGAGAATCTCTTCAGTTTTTAGCTGTGCTTTCGAGCTGTCAGATGCCTGATTAAGCCTTTTCTTTTGCATTTCCCCCCTCGATGTGTTTCAGAATAGGATTCCGGGAGAGGCATTTGCGCCAAAGCCATCTAAGCAGGCTGAAATGGACAAGCTCATGAGATCCATGGAGGTACTCATTTGAATTCTTTGCTTGAACTGCAAGCTACTACTTGGTTCACTCTGTTTGTCTAAACTCTAGAATGTGTTCTCCTGTTTTGCATTCTCCAGGGCATGCCTGGAGCACCTGGCATGAAAATGTACTCGAGGGAGGAATTGATGAACAATATGAACATCGGTAATGAGGATGGCGATAACGAGGATGATGATGAAGATGAGGAGCAATCAAAAAGTTTCCCAAAGAATCTGGTAACAATGCCACGATGAGTTCTCGCATAAGTTCTGATAATTTTCTTCACCTCTGGTAGCCTTGCGCTTTAACCTGCGCGAACAACTTAACTTTTTCGCAGGGTAACATTATGAGGGAGAAAGAGAAGAAGGCAAAGCAGGGTGATTGGAAGCAAAAGATCACCAAACAAGTGGCTTCCACAGGCGAGACGTTGAAGAAGCATGCTCAGAGGGTCTCAAATAGAGTTCGGCAGTGGTGGAAAGGAATGAAGGATGGACAAGCAAAGAAGAAGACTTCCAAAGCTGGCAAGTCTGAGCTTTAGGACTCCTCGGAGAAGATATAGATGTAGATCATGGGGAGCGGATCAAATCTAATTTTGCCTCTACACTAGTTTTTCTTGCATTACCATGCGAGAGCTGTAATGTTTGATTGCAGGAATACCACCTTTAGTCGTCGGTTTATCGAGCAGTTGCTTTACACGAACTTGATGTCATCCATTTTGTAACCAAATCAGAGCTAATCATAACAAACTTTGTGTACACTACCTCTAGTGCCTTCTCTTAAATGTTAAATCAAAATAGGCAACCAATGCGCAGATAATATTGTTAGACTCTGTCAAGAGTTTGATCTAGGAGTCATAAAATTAACAGATCACCTAAACTAGTCTTTTGAGGTTGCCTACGGTGTAGAAGGAAGTGAATCGACGAACATGCTGGCGCACATGAATGAACATCCCAAAGAACGACTAAACCGAAGGACATGTGCCGATAATAACTTCAGTAGCTTACAGTTTCTCACAAGCTGTCAACTAAAGTATCCATAATTGCTTGCCATCACAGATAGATGAAATGGATAAAGTATCTGACTCTGGCTATATTGCAACCTTTCCTTAAAACACAAGTTACAACACAGAACGCCAACAATCACTTGTGAAAGGAAATCACAGATTCACAGACAGCATGTCATTTAATCATGTCATAGTAAACTATATGGTCATCTCTTCATCTTGGAAAATCTTTCATCAGCAGGCGGACATTTCATTGTCCCAAATTACAATGATCCAGACATGAGAGTTGTTCAACAGCAGCTCGGAACTCCCCCACTCGCAGAGGCTTTATTCGTTGGGCGGCCATGGGGCTCCTGCCATAACTGCTTCAATATCCGCAATGGTTCGGGGACACTTAGTCATGTTCTTACAGCCAGTTGCCGTAACGTGCTGCATGCAATCATTCATTAGCAGCAGGAAATATTTATGTCAGGAGAACACTGAATGGCATGTCGTGCAGTCGAGTGCATTTACACAGGGTTGTCAATTTATACAATTAATGAGTTTGTTTTAGCTTCTGCTTAAAAATAAGCAACTTTTCTCTTGAAGTTTTAGAAGTGAAAAACAAAATGTGCTTGAATGTGTTTTAGCCACAACAAACACACCCTATATATTAGTATCAGATATCTAGTGAGCATTGTTTCTGGAATATGATGCTGTTGGAAAGAACCAGAAGCAATAGCAAGCTTCGGCAAAAGCTCGAACAGTATTGGGATAAAGATACGACGTACCAAATCACTTTCGATGCGGACACCACCAAAGCCCTTGAATCTGCCGATGGCTTCAGCGTTGAAGAACTTGGAAGTTTTTGGATTTGCCATTGCTGGGGTCAACAAAGCATCAATGAAATAGCATCCTGGCTCCACTGTGATCACCTGCCAAACAGGACATGAAAGGGTGTATATTAGTGGCATTGTATTTTCCCATAAGCATTAAAGGAAGAATTTCACCCCTTTTTCCTATCTTTCATTTTATCAGAAGTGCGTTAGAGTAGTCTAGAAAAGACGGGTACAGACCATTCCTTCTTTGAGTTCTCTGATGGTACGTAAAGAGCGTAACCCAGGTTCTGTTGGTTTCTTCAGTCCCTACAGAAAGTAAATATGCCACTTTCCTTCAGAACAATTCAAAATGCATTCTACAAATTCATATATGCACAGCGAGAAGGAAGAAGAAGAGACACGGCCAAGAAAACAGGAAAAATAGCTCGGAAATGCAGTGAAATGTACCTTCAAGTAGCCACCCGGATCATGAGTGTCAATTCCAAGGAAATGCCCAAGACCATGAGGCATGAAAACTGCACCAAATCGCTCAGCCATCATATCAGCTACATCACTGTACTCAAGAGAATAAATCACCATTGCATTTATGTCAAATTAGCCCCTTTCCTTGGATGTCTACGTGGAAGCGAAGGAGAGGATTGCCATTAAGAGACCAAACATTTACCCAACAATAATGCCACCCTTTCTCAGCGAATCAAGGACTACTGTCTCTGCCAACCTGTATAAGGAAAAAAGCAGATGGGAACAATGATACACATTAGTTTGGCCCATCAAAGCTTTGCAACAGAAGATACAAATGTCTCCCCAGGCAACTGAACTTCGGATGCATAAATCTAACCCAGAGGGGATATAGTCTAAAACATATCTTAAGCATCTTGTGCAGGCATGAATAGTAGGATTATTAGTAACTATATATATAAAAGGGGAAGATTTCCCCCAAATGCTCATGAAATTGGAATCTTTCCAGAGTGACAGGTTTTGTCCATGATGTTTTCAATTAAATAATCAAATGCACCTTCCAAAATAGAAACATTTGAAATTATTCAATGATGCTGTCCCACAAGTGAGCTATTGCTTTGCGGCTAATTCCTTGTAGGTAAAGAAAAGGCATGGTTTATATTTAATGCATGATTAATTGTACAGCTTACTTGTGCATGTCAATCCAGCTGACGCCTGGCTTCATAGCAGAGATGACAGAATCGTGTGCATCAAGGACAGCCTGCAAATAAATGTAACATCTAAAGTATAATTCCTTGAATACATTGACAGTAAACAACAATAGAAATGAACACCAAAACATTCCAATTAACAGGAGAATCCACAAATGTAGGAGTTTAAATTTGTATGAACAGAGCATTAAACGGTGACCCAAGTTGAATCACACTCACATTGTAAATTAAAGACTGATCACTTGTAAACTTGCCATTCACCTGCATGCGAAATTAGAATCATCTTAGAGAAAATTTTAGCAAGAGGAGAAGAAAGTAACCTTCAGCTTTCCCAGCACTATAACTCCATTAACTAAGAAAACTTAGGTAAGATGGAGAACAGACGAATTTTTTCTCAACGTAAACTAGGCAGCCTGAAGGAAGGTGTTTGGAACAATTATGATCAAACTCATAGGCAAGAGAAAATATACTCACAGGAAACGAACAAGTTATATCAGAACCATAGAATTGGTATTCAGCTCCCATATCAAACAATGTCATATCCCCATCTTGCAAGGTCTGCAATACGACATACAAGGTTTAGAAGATGAAATGCAAAACATCCAGCCTAAGGTTAGTCGTTTTACAGGCAGCATAGCATTGATTCTGTTTCCAACAACTGATTGATATCAAATATTTTCTAACCCCAACTCTTAACTTTGGACCGAAGCTCTTGTTTGTATCTTTTATCCATAATACGGAATCAACCAGGATTTACATTAAACTCCTTTTTCAGTATTCAAAAGTTATGATACAGTTATCGTCTTGAATTCCAGCTTGCTTAGCAATTAGGATTCAATATGTACAGGGCGTTCTTCAAAAGCAATGATTCTTCTTATAGTTTGATCTTTAGAAATATGTATAAGGGGAGCACAGAGAAACTTCAAAGACAAGGGCAAGCAGTTGATGGGAAAATGAAATATGAAGGGAAGGAGAGTTGAATTTACTGTACCCTGTCATTTGGGGCTGCTGCATGACCGTAGTGTAGAACAGCACTGCAATTGAGAAAGAAACTAAAGCTGTTAGGAACCCAGAAATGATGGAGTTAAGCTTCGGAACCAATACTTTCAAATACGTACATTATTCGTTATAAGCACAATTCAGCTTCCATTAATAAAGTTTGCCAAAACTAATTCCAAGGCATGTACCTCTAATAAGTTACCAGCAAATGAACTTGCATCTTACAACTTAAAATGATAAACAACACTCTACTATTTAACGATACTCGCATCTTACATAGCTCGCCCTCATAAATAAGTCAAGTCAGATGTCAATAAGTGTGAGGCAAATTAAAACAACAACAAAGAAAAAACACAAATTAGCTTCAGTCATACACAAAATCCTCAAAAGTACTCACAAATATGAGACTGTCTGACCTGTTTTCACCAGTAGCACAGATGCACGTGTATGAGCAATGCCGACAACCACCATACATGTAGGTGTGGTGTTGAAATGTACTTTCCAACTGATACTCTTTCATTCCAGGTTTAATGTTTCTCATGACCTAGAAGATTTTCCAATATTCGAGACATTAGTAAGATAATGAACATCTGCCTTTTGCCGTACTTATCAGTTATATCTAAGAAAATGACTGCAGAATTAGAAACAAGGAACATGAACTTAGAAGGTCAACAGACCACTTTTCCTATAACAGAACATAACATGTCTTTTATGGAAAAATAAAAATAACATCAAAGATTCTAAGCAATATTTTAAAAGCAAAGGAGCGCCTGCAATCGATCATTGACAAACACAGGACGAAGGAGGAGAATGGCTAAAATGAAATAGGCTACCTGGACGTGAGCCTCAGAGCTGATGTCATTGGCAAACTGAATTACAGCAAGCTCCAGGTCTGACTTGATAACACGGCATTCAGTTAAAATAGGATGCAAAGCGTTCACGTCAGTTTGAAATGATTCCATTCCCTGTGAAGACAAATTCAACAAGACCTCAGACACCCCATAAGATATGAGTGACAAGCTAAACAATATACTAGCCAAGGGAAGAACCTTTTGGTCTAAGTACCTTAAAATCTGCCGGCTTTGAGTAATTGTTGCTATCAGTGTTGAGTCCATGTAGTAGAAACAGCAATGGTTTCCCAACACCCTTGCTCCGGTCAAGCAGAACTTCTACAATTTCGTCCGTATAGTATGCCTCGGTAACTAAGTACCTTTCCTACAACAAGAAGAGCAAAAAATCATTTTCTCTAACAAACATCATATGTTGACGCACAAATGGAAGAACATCCATAAATGGGTACCTGATAGTAAGATAATGACTTGATTTTCCCCATCCAAACAGCATACTCCGCAGGTAACCTCGGAGCAAAGAGGATAGACTTCCCTGTAGCAATGTCCTGCAGCAGTAGGATGGGACACAACAAGTGATACCAACAAAGATGAGAAGCAACAATTGCCGAAATGGTGCCAGCAGGGAAGCATACTATTCATTTCAAACTAGATTCAAGGGAGACTATCTATCTGCTAGTCAACAAATCAGCAGGAAAGATGCATAAAAGGTGGAACAACTGCAACCAAATTTGTGTTAAAGATTGGAAACTGTGTTATGGAATTCATCGACGTAGGACAATTGCAGCCATTCCAATTCAGTGCACCAAAAAGGATGCAGAGACAATAGTGTTCTAGCATTTTTCCATGTGTTACAATTATAAATCAATTACAGCGGGAAAGAAGAATACAGGAGGAATGAAGAACTCACAATAGCCCCATAGAAGCCAGGCTCCACAACTCCAAACAAATAAGCGAAATAACTCTCCTGTCTACAAATTGCACAATAAGAGATAAGTCATCCAGTCCAACTAGAACCAAACTACGGCGCAAATGAAAGCTCAAAAGCACACCTGAAGAGCTCCAAATGATCGGTGCAGTAGCGAGTCTGCTCGTCACCTCCCTGTCAAATTCAGGGGCAGCTATTCCGTATTGAATAAAATAAAGATCACCATCGATTAAATAAAGTCCAAACGAGCTCGCCGGGATCCGTACCTGAAGAAGGACGAAGCCTTGTAAGGGACGAGAAGTTTCGGCAAGATGATGCCGGATGGATTGGAGGAGCTTCTCGCGGTTGGAGACGTGGAGCTCCATTGGAACTTCGGGAGGAGATAGAGCCGACGCCGCCATCGGAAAAAATGGCGTCTCCAGTCGCCAGCTTCGCGGATTTCCGTCTTTTACTTCAATCGTGTTTGAATATAATTGGTGTTTGGTAGTCGCGTCACTCAACCGGACAAACAACTTTCCGTGTCTTTGCCACAGGCCGCTAGATGGGCTTGAAAATTGGGCTAGTCTAAGAATTCTTGGACTTGAAGTTATATTCAAGATAGTGGTAAACTGACGAATTGGCCCAATGGGAAGGCTTTTGTTGAGCAACGTTGATCTCGAGCTAGTTCCAAGAAGTCTACTGGCCCAGTATGCCAAGTCCATTTCGGCCCAGAGAGTTTTTGGTGGCTGAGGTCGAGACAAATTCTAATAAAGATGAATTATCATTTATCAAATCTATGTGTCGTTATGGTTGACTACATTTGTAAGGAAATTCACGCGTAGAAGTGTTTTGGTGACTTAAAAAGGTGAAATTGTAAGTTTTTAAGTTTTAAATCGCGATTTTGACTGCATTGGCGAGAGGTAGTCACTACTATTGCAGGCGGTAGATGGTATGTGTAATACACGACCCAAAAAAGATGAATTACAACTTATTTATTATGGAAATAAGATCAAACAATTTTTAGTCTGGTAGTCATCAAAGACATTGTTTCGACACCCATCAAAGTTATTGTAACCAACTAGTTCTTGAGATATCATTAGAGATTATAACCATCACTAATAATTGTTGGTTTAAACACAAGATATGGTAGACTTATGCAAGTTTGAAGTACATAAATTCAGTGGCATAGCCAGAAATTCATCTAACGTAGGTCAAATATGGAAAAAGTATATATCTATCATGCAAATTATGAAGGATGTTAAGATACTACAAGAAAAAATCGTTCATGATCTTATTCTAAAATGTTTCTTTATTTTGCTTATTGTAGTAGCTAGTAAGTGCTCTTTCAACATTTGCAATGAGAACAGATAGCAACAAAGTGAACAAACACACCTAAGTTTCGATGTTCTGTTTATATTAAACTCACTTACAGAATATATGAATTAAAAGTCAAATATAGATCACAAAACATTACTTTTCATAAAATTATCTACAATAATATGAAAATCTTGTATTAATCTACAATCGCATTAACAATTTTACTCTATATATTTTTTTGGGCCAAGGTGGTGCAAATGACTCACCTTGGCCTCGACTGGCTCTGCCACTGCATACGCATTAACAATTTTACTATATATTTTTTGGACCAAGGTGGTGCAAATGACTCACCTTGGCCTCAAGTGGCTCTGCCACTGCATAAATCGGTCTTCATTTTGAGGGGCACGTAAAAAAAGATACAATAAAATTTATAATTGAACTTCTCTAACTCGACTTATTGAAACCGACTACAAAACCCGCAAATCCACACTACATGCAAGTTCCAAACTACATATATTAATATATTATGCATGTTACTGCGGATGCTACTGTCTGTTATTAATGGACACATCTCAACAGACTCATCTGTGAATATTTATGATAATTAGGTGGGTCATATTCTATACACATGTGTGTTAAACAAAAAGGTCACCATTCAACCCAACAAAGGCAGAGAAACAAAAAGGGTAGAAAAAACGACCAGACAATAACACACTTATGTGGCAATACTGATCCAGACTGGCCGGAGGGCACAAAAAGCTCAGGATTTTTGGGGGGTTTGTCGATCGATCAATCTCAGATTCCCTTCTTCCACTAACCTAGCTAGAGCAAGAGCTAGAGCTACTTTTGTTTTGTTTCCCACATTACTTCTCCTTTTCGGCTTCTTCTTTTTTTTAATTCAGCCAGTTGTATTGCAATATTGCGTTGTTATAGGTGTAAATGGATCGCCCTTTTTCTCTATGATATGGTGTTCATCAAAAGGTAGACAACTCTAGAAAAAGATCCCAGTTGATGGTGTTTTTTCTTTAAGGCTGTGAATGACTTGATATTCGTCGATTATAGTATGTTCCTGTGTCGGCCCCTAAATGACCTAAACCATGGCATGATTATTTGGTTGCTTACTCTGTGTTCAATCCTTAGTTAGTCTTAAGACAAGAAATTAACTAGGATTTGCATAATACGCGTGGTGCCAGATTGACGTTATAGTCTCGTAAATCAGTTTGTTTAGCCACGAAATAATGCGTGTTTGTTTGTGAAAGCATTCGCCAATAGTTTTGCGGGGTTGCATCACTTGCAATTTGGAATAATTTTTGGAATGGAATGCGCATGAGTTTCGATATGCTTTGTATGAAAACTAATTAAACAGGGAAGAATCATGCGTGACATATGGGCGCTTTGATGAAAACATTGACTCGAGACTAGTTTACTGAGAATTCTTTCAAACTCAACCTATAGAGAGAGCTAGCTTGTTTCATGGCATATCAAGAGCATGAACGACAGTTTCTATCGCTAGCTAGACTAAAAACGTGATACGATGACATGAACAACATTTAGAGTATATTTTCATAGATCATATATATGTATAGGTCAAACTGAAATATTCTTGGAGTTTACCATAGTCTGGGAACTCCCAATATGATATCTGTATCTTTGACTATGAATTAAACTGATCGAATTTGCGATATATGATACTATATGCTAGCATTCATATTCACGTTGAGCTTTCTACCGGTCAGTTTAACTGGTATCGGCCACCAAACCTGCTGAAGTTTTGGTCAAATTCGACCAATACCGGTAAAATCTGATCATAACAGAGGATACCGATAGGTTAAACCAGAAACCGGATTTCAATATTTTCCACACATGTCCTTCAAAAATAAACAATCATAAACATTAATACAAATTATTTTATATACTTTTATTTTTACGTATCTAATTGTCTACTATTAGTTACCAATGCCTAACTATAAACTATCTTGTGTGAATTAACTTTTTTAATTGCTTCTTCCTAACTAATTTACTTGATATATATTGATGATTTTCATTTTTCTCATGTATTCTATCAAACTCGGCATAAACCGATTGTACCACTGGTCGTAAACTCCACTTCCCAAACCAACATAACAGTATTAACCGCTTTGACATCTTTGATCCTGGCCTCTAATGAACGAATCTTAGGTCCCCATTCTCTATAAATCCAAATCCGGTAAAAATTAATAATCTACAATTCCGATTTATCGAAATAAAAGAACTACACGGTAGTTACCATATGTATTAGTACTCATTCACACTTCTGCACAAATTTTACGTACAGAAGTGATCAAAAGTACAAATGGAACTGAGCTGACAGTATAATGCGTCAATAAAATGAAGTCCTGAAACTCAACCCCAGTTGACCTCATTATTGAGTTCCAATTTCAGGCAATAATTTCCATGAAACAAAGATAAGATTTAGAATAGGAAGCAGTTGTAACTTGATTAAATTTCATAGTAAAGAATTGAATTGAGCTCTCTCAAACTTGGCTTCTGTTGCAAAATGAACATTATGACCAATCAGAGCTGCCTCTGCGCAACAGAAGAGAACATGTAAGCTAGCTATGTCGATGTGAAATAGTAGTGTTATGAACCATGTGTGATTGATTATTTACGACTAGCTAGTTGTAAGTTGTCGTGTTGCTCCAAAACCCGACCATATTTTAAAAGCAAAGAAATCGTAACAAATTATATGTTTCGAGAGTTCCAATGCAAAACCTTCCGGTTATATATTATATAATGCGTGCATGATCTGTACAGGTAATTCCCATTTGGCTAGTAGTATTCAATTCCACCGTATATGTGCGGAATAATCATTTATATGAATAATACTTCGCGATGGACTGTAATTCGATCCAATTGTCATGATCCATATGAGCAAACGGCATTGGAATTGCGTACACATTTTCTTTTAGGCACCTAATACTATGTTTAGTGAACGAAATGAGAAGTGTGTAATCTCTTTAGTAGCTTGAGTGTTTGTGAGTGTGTTCTTCCTTTGGCTAAGTGCTTGTGACGTAAGGAAGACAAGTTACATTTGCTTTGATTTGTCAAGGGTTTGACTTTTGAGTTCCACCCGAAAGGAACTCAACTTGGAGTTAGAAGTTGGAATAAGAAGAAAACCATAGAAAACAAGGTCTCAAAAAGGTGATCAACTATCTTAGAACCGAAACGTAAAGCCACATGATAAAATTTGGTTTACAAAACATTATGTGTCGTACTACTACTTTCATTTTTCCTTTGTACATTTCAAGAGGAATTCGATAGCTCGTCATTACTTTAATACGACTTGAACTCAGATTTGAAATACAGTTATAACCCGTTAAATTAGCCTTCTTGCTTTTATTTTTCTTGAAAATTGGGGGAAAAATCCCCTGTGTTTTCTTGATTAGTTTGGTTGAAGAAGAAAAAACACGTTATTCATCGTGAGAGACAAGGTCATCAGACCACCGCAACAGACATCGACCCTTCTTCCCTTTAGATTGGCCTTATTAGGTTCAGAACTCGGAACCGAACTCCACTATGCAGGGGCGGACCCAGGGACCTTGTCCCGGGATATCCCAGAATTTTGAAAAAGCGATTATCTAAATCTCAATGATAACTTACGTATGGACAAAAAATTATAATTGATAGTCTAGGATACCATGAATTTAAAAAATCTGATTATCCTACTTTTGTTTGTAGTTTGCGTATGAGAATATAAGTGGTAATTTGAGTAATTGAAACCCGTGACACTACTATTATTAATAAATATAATTTTCAACCATCACAAACACTTTTTTGATTATGGATCCACTACCGGAAATTCAATGGGTAAGCTTAGTATTCAATGTGTATTCCTGAACAATTTCATTTTTCAATTATTCAACCATTTCCTTTTACCAAGTTCAATGTTAATCCGATTAATAAATATTTCTATGTTTCAGTCAGATGTGTCGATATCAATGGTGACTCATTATTTCGATGAATCATTTCTTCGGACAGAAGAAGATTATGTAAACACTTACTGGAAATCTCACTTATCAGATTCCATTGTGGAAGACGCAATTTTTTCTGTAGGCTACAACTTTTTTTGTTGATCTAATCTGAATACGGTGTAATAGAAAAACCCTATTCTCTATATTTAATTATTTTCAAAACCCAACAATTAATCTAATTACAAGCTACCGTTAATTTATATTGATTTTATGGTTGTACGACAAGTGTTCAAAGTGTCTTTTCAGCTTTGAGTTACATCAAGAACAAATTTAGAAGTCGAATATGCATCAGTTCGTGAATGATTGTCTAGTAGGATATACTGAGACAAATTTGTTGAGTAGTGTAGGCACCAAGTGTATTTTACAATTTTTTTGAGAATATGAAAATACAAGTGTTTGCAATTTTTTTGAGAATATGAAAATACATAACTTGTACGAGTTGGGTATTTTCTTCTTTAAGAATTATTTAAATATTATCAGTTATTTATTTTTATTTTACTTTAATTATTTTCTTAAAGAGTACACCCCTATGTAAAATTCCTAGGTCCGCCACTGCCACTATGACCAGGTCTATGCATGTATATGGTATGGTTACCTTCAATATTATAAAACTGATATAATAATATTATTATCAAATTATTTTAAGAAAATATTGATATGGATATATGAATTAAAAAAACTGAAGTCCACCACCAGGCCCATCTCTGATTTTGCAGGGTCGATGAATTGAATTTGTTGGCACACGCGTGCATGGTGGATTGCTTGGTTGGCATGCAGCTGGAATTTACGTCCATATTTAATGAAAGAAGAAGAAGAAGAACCAGCCAGCCAGCCAGCCGACTCATTAATACTGCTATTCATGCAAAATCAAAATCAATCAAGGTCTGAATTCTCAATATCCTTTGGCTGGTGGGTGGAAAATGGAGACTAATAATTGGGCAAAAAATCTTATCTTCTTATAAGTTGATTTTAGGCGCTTGTGTGGGCGTTCTTGAGTCACAATTTAGTGAGTCGAAATCCCAATGTTTATTGGGGGTTTTTTGGATTATTATTGCTATAGCAAGAGGAGGAAAAACGAAGTCTCGACCAATCATGGTAAAGGATAATTAATAAACTAGGTAAGCTACTTGTGCATATAATTCATTTTTTTTTACAATGATTATGAAAGAGACGGCACATGGTGGATTGTAATTAACTATATATTACTACAAACAATTTGAAATAAAAATAAAAATAGAGACAATAGGAGAAAAAGCCAATTTTTGGCACCTTGTGCAGAAGCAGAGACCCTCTAGCGCAACTTAGAAAATCTTTTTGGCAGGCTCTTCATAATTAGAGGGGTTTTAATTAGTCTAGTGGGTATCGTGATTATTTTGAGGACGTGGGGAGTTTGGAATGTTACATGTATACAAGAGGATGTGGTTATCGTGATTATTCTGCAAACAACTCAAATCGACCCTAACATAATCATGCTGACTCATTCAATAAAATGTCACTACTAAACCAGAATACTCAAATCACAGTACTGCAAACTCTACATCGGCGCGAGCTTGATGCGTTGGGCTTAAGGCCTTGCGTCTTCTGGTGGATTGTGGGCTACTCCTCATGGTCGCGGTAATGGGTGTTGTTGCGGACTACATACGGTCGAGTCGAATGAGAGATGGAAGGAAAATAGTGTTGTCATGGTTCTTTCAGCAGGTCGAAATATTTTTATTTTAGATACGCTGCACGAGCACACTAGCTACATACTACATAGACAAGTAGACACTAGGATTTCTTCTTCTTATTCCTTCTAATAGGGGATTTTTAATTAATAGCATCATTTCTTGACAATTAGCACTAGGCTTTTTAATAGCTAATAACTATTGGAACGCTTATTAAACAAATGCTATTATATTTATTGGGATTATGTGGTCAACGACGGTGTGGGTTTGCTTTGGTTTGATGCTATAAAGCTATGTCAGAAAGTACACATAAATTCTGAAAATAAAACAACAAGTAGAAATAAATTAAATAGTTTTGTGAACTAGCATTTTGGGCTACATAAAAGGGGATTTGCTCAATTTCCATGAAATTTCTCAATAATGGATTAAAGCGACACCGGCAAAGGGCCATGCGTACGTACGAATGGGGTTCACAAAACGTGTCGGGTCGTAGGAATTTGTTAGAACTTAGGAATCACAATTACGTTATTAATTCGTTGAACTAAAAAAACTCCTTTTTTTCATTTATTAAATGGATTAGAAAGGAATTGATATGGATGGAACTAGAAATATCAAATGCGTGCGGACGTGGACGAAAAACAATATGGTTCTTTAGGTACGTTTATTGTGATTTTGTTAAAAATTCAAGTTACAATGATTTGAAAATTGGTGGAAGAATTCGGTATGATATTGTGAATATATTTTCTCGTTAGTTGTTGGTCCCAAAACTCGAACTCAGAGTGCGGTGAAAATTTTCATCCACAAATTACAACTTGACCAACCCTTTGGGTTGATATAATGATTATACTGTATATACGGTCTCTGTGTGATCCACTTCCAATATCCATCATCATACATCAGTTGATCACCTTAGTTCAATTAAGTAGGAAATTCCAAAATAACTTGCAATGTAAACACACTAGTACATTGCACTTAGCAAGAAGGATCTCCCCCGTCGTAGTTGATCGAAGAAGAAGGAAAGGAGGATTGAAGAGGAACCGAGTGGGCTAGGATACGTCCGGGGTGGGTTGGGCTCTAGGGCACCATGGTGGGTTGGGGCGTAGGGGGAACTATCGAGCTAGGGCTCATATTTCGGGCAGGGTTCGGTTAACGGTTGCAGCAAAATCCAAAAAACGATCCTAACCCACAACATAGACCATTATGGTCTTTAATTTTTAGGTTCTCAATCCCCTAATACTCGATGAATTCAGTTTCCATTTCAGTTAAACGCAACACTGAACCCGAACATGTAGTCCTAATTTACAAATCGGTATCACTTATTCAAGATCATAAATGGCGCAACTTCTACATTCTCCTTCATAGATCATAAACTTATTGATCTTTCCAACCACCTTGAAGTACTAGTTGCATTAGAATCAAACGGACTAGTAGCCTACATTTGCTAAGTGATTTTCTTTTCACCTAAGATATATATGTTTTGTAACTCTTAGTTAACATTGCTCTTTTACACTATTAATTTCATTGACACATACATCCACAGTAAAATCCTACATCATTTATATAAAAAACACACGATCCGCTAAAACATAATTTAATTATATTCATGTGATAGGTTAAACTATATATATCACGTATTTATGGAGAAGTATACATTTACCATGGTGTAAAAAAAAAAAAACAAGTGGCTGGTTGACACTCTTTATCTGCCTGCAAAAGATTAGTGGCTGGTTGACTGATTGCATCGTCATTAATGAGGCAAATAAGCATGATTAGCTATATATAAACGCCTTCTAATGGTGTCATAAAGGTGTCGGTTTTCACCAAAGCAATGTGAAGCCAATTGGTGACATGTCTGCTAGCCGTAAGGGCATCAGAAATTGCAGAAGAGAACAAAAAAATTAAAGAAGATAGAGACACACCATTAACAAAGACTAGTTAATTAATCAATTAATCAGGTTTTGAAGTTTACCTTTTGTGTTGGCCAAATGAAGAACAAGAGAGTGACAATCTCGATTGTTTAACAAACAGAAAGGACAGTGACAGATGGAGTTGTTTACTAAAGGGAAGTACAGACATAATCCATACTAATCAGGAATTTTGGGATTAATTAAATCGACAAGATGGGATGGATATATATGACGTTGTTTAAAATTGACTAAAACCCCTTTTTTGCTGAGATAGCAATAAAGGGTTTGTGATTTGGAGGGTGTCGTTTTCTTGTGGGGGAAAGTCAGAAGTTAGGGTTTACAGTTTCTTGGGTGCTTCCATTGCTCAGTTGGAATCCACTTCAGAGGAGCTTAAGTACGTATGTACAGTCGCTTTCATTAGGTGCATAACTTAATTAGTTAATTACAAATATAATTAAGTTCCTTAATCATGCGTATCACGGGACAAGGAAGGAGTCAAAGACCTTCATCACTAACGTACAGAAGTAGCCCATGGGCGAGGAAGCAACCCCAAAAGGGATAAAGTGGTAATGAGAAACTAATTCAACCACTTTGATCTGATGATGGCTGGGAATCTTGGCGCCTTCATTTAAGGTTATTATGTGATTAGGGATGACAATTAAACTCGCACATGTAGTTTATGTACTCAACACAATCTTATTCAGTCAAAATGGGGTAAAGCTCGGAGTTGATAACGGGTTTCAGGTTAGCTGCATGCGAGTAGAAACTGCTTTTGGAATTCTCGGATTGGATTGGATTTAGGTTTGGTCAAAACTTGGTATGCTTTTCACCCAACCTGCACCGAAAAAGAAAAATGACATTGTTATATTATGAATAAATTACGGACATTATCTGTCTTTGTGACAATATAGTTCCAATAGTATTAATAATTGTTAATGTTATCAGTCTTTATAGTAATAGTACTATAGAAATTTTTGTATAACATAAGAATGTGGGTTTTCGGACGAATTATTCGTGGTTAATTATGTTTGTGAATCCATGGGTATTCATGGACTTGCCAGTACTCGCTGGATTAAGTTGGGTTGAAGAAACTCGACTCAACCCGACCCATTATTGTCCCTATCTGCTACCCTTTGATACAACGACTCGTACTTTTCTAGGCCCGTTGCCAATCCCCCAATAGAGAATGATCACCTGGAGAATAATAAAATTGAAGAACTAATAGATAATTTTATTTCAAAATATGTTAGAAGGATGCTATTTTTCAAATGAGGCTGTAATAATTTTATTTTTTTAATTAATGTAATAATTTTTATTTTAATAGGTTTATTGAAAAAATTTGAGCAACATTTGGTTCGTGAAACATGGCCTCCTGTATTCGAGGGTCGTCCTGTTCACTTAGCTATAGCCTCCAGGAGTGTGTGCAATGCATCATTTTGACATGCAATTGACCAAACTGACATTGTGATCGGACTTATTCATACTAAATGCAATAGAATTCGATTCTCGGTTACATGAATTGTTTGGATAG